GGAAGGTAAAAAAAAAAAAGGTAAAAAAAGAAGAGAAAGGCAATGTCTCCTTGTACGTACGTCATCGGCTTTCTAAGATGCTGTGAGGGCGGGCGTCGAAAGCGGCGCCCCGGTACGGGATCCCATCCCATCCCATCTTTCCAAGCCATCGATCGATCGAGATGAAACATCGCCGAGGTTTTGGAATGTTGTTCCGGCGGAGGTGGGGTGGGGATAGGAATGGCCCGTCTTCGACCCCATCTCATCCCAGCCCGCCGTTGATGAGGTCCGTGTACGAGGATATGGGAGCCCGCTGTCGTGGCTTTCCCCTCGTGGTCTCTGTCGGCGCAAGACGTGTCGGGGTCGGGCAGGTTGGCAGTTCCTCTTATTTTCTGCGCATGAGGCCTTGGGCTTGGTCGAGAGCCGGGGGGGAAGGGGGGATTTGAGGTGCTGAGAGATCGGTGATGGGTAGCTAGCGCCGGAAGAGAGCAAGTTTCTGGGCTGTTGATGGGGAGTTTGGAGGAGAGGAGTTTACATGGACAGATAGCAGGCGGGACTGACAGATCTTTTTCCGGGGATCTGGATCTGGACTTTTCACTTCGAGTCGTTTCAAGGCTCTGGATCGAGGAAGGTTGAAGTGCTTGTAGTCATGTCGTGTTGGTTAGATGGATCTTGATATGCGTACATACTGAGGGGGGGTAATCAATCTATCTAACTATCTGCCCCCACCCTTTCCGGCAGAAGAACCTCACTAGCCATGACAATGAGAGAACTCATATCTGAGAGGCAAGTGCTGCGAAACGATTCAAGTGATGTGCTCATAGCGTACGGCATTCTTCATTCAGCCTGACAGGCCCGTGCTTGACATGCGTTGTTTTGTTTACACGAGCACTCGCTAAACAGCCGGGTGCAAAAGGGGGTAGCGAAAACCTTATCAAAAGAAAAGTAACAAAAAGACAGCGGAGTAAGAAAAGAAAAAAGAAAAAAGAAAAAGGGAAAAAATAATATAGAAAAAAATAATATAGAAAAATTCAAGTATTACTATCCGGAAAGGGCAAAAAGCCGACCGACCTAAGATGTTGCAAAAGTACCACCACAGCATCTTACCGCAGAGTGACAGCGGGTCGGTACAATACACCATGACAAATCCCACTGACAGGGCGCCAGCGGAGGAGGGGAAGAGTGCGCGCGTCCCTCACGAGTCGACCACGGATGTACGACTACTGTACGTATGTACGCCCCACCAAATGCGAAGTGCAACAAAACCCTTCTGCGGCCCGGCACACACACAAGAGCAGCACCGTTAGCTTCGACGAGCCTCAAGTCTGGCTTGACTCTCTCTCGAGAGTCCAAATCGAATCGAAAACACCTTTTTCTTTTCGCGTTCTCTAATATGGCTTCAATGCCTATCTATCGCTTACCGGGCTCTCTCTCGCCCAAATCGCGTTTGGCGGGCAGGACTTGAGGGATGAAAAAAAAAAAAGAAAAAAAAAAAGAACCCCCACGGACCGTAGTCCGTGTGGCGCGTAGAGGCGCACAATGTTCACGCTCTCTCCAGTTGTGCCTAGGGCTGTAGTTGCCAGAATCTCTCCTTCATGGTCAGCATCTGCTCACCAAAACGAGGACACCTCGCCGCACGGTCTAAAAACCTACAGTAGCGTAGCCCAGCAGAGGTCAACCGGCAGCGGGAACGCAAACACCGCTCTCTCCCATAAAGGTTCCGCGTTGACAGTCCCGTAGTGCAGATTCCATGGCATTCTGATACGAGGTCTGTTCCCTGGCGGCCCCGGAGCTTGCGGAGGGGCCAGGGGACCTTGTTTCGCAACGGTCGTAATATATATACGGCTGCCTTCCGAGGCTTTTGACATTAACGCTACATCAACCTTCTATAAGAAATACGTTTCAGAAGGATGTAAAGGAAATGCAACGCTTCAGCCCGGCCGCAAGCTAAAATTTACGGCCCATAAGCAGCGCGAAAGAATCGTGATACGAAGTGTACAAAATGTACATTCAAAAGTCAGGATAAAGTGAAGGGTTGAGTAGTGAATACTTTTAATCGTGAGGCGCTCGCACAGAGAACTCGTCTCCTCGTGTCACGCTGCTGGCTTAGAAGTACCAGCTCTGAAAGAGAATGATCGTTGCAAAGAAAAAACATGAACGAAAATGTTGATGAGATAGTCTCCGAGGCTTGTATATCGCCGTTAAGATTTGTATGAGATTATTCAGGTTCATCGGAATCAATGTATTTTCCAACCGATAAGGCCCATTTCACTTCATCCATACCATGAAATTTTGAAATAACAGCACCTATTGCCCATAGGGATGGCAAAGTCATGCACGCCACCATGATTTCCGATAGCCTGGCCCATAAATATGAGAGTAATCCTGACATAAGAAACAGACACTAAACAAATGGAAGTCCGTAAACACTATACTAAAGGGGTATGTCCGAGAGCGTGTCGCTAAACAGTTTCAAACGTATAGTACATCAATGAAGAAACAATGTGCAGAGCTCGCCGCTAAAAGTCGTGGGGGTAGTGGCGTGGGTGGTATATCGCGGGGGAGTCTCTTGCTGAAATTCGTCAAACCCCCAGGATACATATGATAGTCCGATAGTTGGATGATCCATTCGTTATATGGGTTCGGTGGTGGGCGTTGAGAAAATCTTAGCTTTCCTCAGTAATGCCGACTTCGCCGCCTCCTTCCTCTCGCCACTCTCGACTTCGCTCTGTCAGCCTCTTGACACCACTCACACGTCGCGCCCAGAGACTTTCCACTGGCGAACGGAAAGAATAGGCTCTCTGGCTGCTGATGACGCCAATGGCTTGAAGAACAGCTTTCCTGCTATCTCTCCCAAATACAGCCGGGTGGTTGATCCATTCTAAACTAGCCTCAAGCTCGGCGTCGAGAGCGGCAACGGTGGCGGCGTCGATACCGGGAGATGAGCCCATCGAAAGGGCATCGTTCGAACGAGGACCGGGAATTGGCCCCGAAGGAGGCCCCGAAGGAGGCCCCGAAGCGGCATGAGAAGAACTAGGAGGCGAAGGCGAGCGGTGGCAATCAGGAGTGACGGTAGAGGTAGGAGATGATTCCGGCCCTGATGGGGATGACTTTGATTGAGGAGGTGGGGGAATTGGCGGCAGACCGCCTTTCCCAAGACCCTTGAGAATAGAGCGGGTCTCGTGAAGAAGATGTTGTGCGCGATCATGTTGACCACGTGAGATAAGGGTCAGTGCGCGGGTGAGCATGTCTGAGGTAAGAAGTTCCATTCGTCGCTGTACGACACTTGGATGAGGCGGAATCGGCGGCGTATTTAAAAAGGCTGACTTTCTTTGTTGTTGCCGGGCCGTTGGAGCTGGAAGCATCGTGATTGCGAGGAGTGATGGACAAGGGAGATGAGCTAAAGTTCCATCGCGGAGAATGTCTCCCCATGTAAGGTCTGCCTGGATGAGCGGAACCTCTTCGATAGACGCGATGCGCTCATCCTCTTTGTCGAGAGGTCCACCGAGAGCTTCGAGACCCGAGACGATAGACTCCCAAGCATCCTGTGGAAGTTGCTCCTGGGACGCATTGTCTGGAGCGATGACAAGCTGCACTAGAATATCTCTCTTGTCGCCAAATCTGAGGTCTCCGAGAGATGCCTCGGCATCCTTGCCAGTTGCGCGCTTCGTTATTTGTAGTGCGCCACTGATCTTCACAAACTTTGCTGGAGATCCTTCAGGAAGTCGCAACTTCAGCTTCACATTCTGATGAGACATTGTCTGCAGCGCACCCATGCAGCCTGCGAGACATTCTCGAAGCATCATCCAGTCCTTGACATACGTGTAGGAGGCTTTGGTCCGGGTCGATAGCTCAATCATCGTATCCGGTTTATGCGTCATGCCAAGTCCGAACGAGTGAATAGCGATCCTATTATGGTCAGAAAGGTACAGCAAGAGCATTACTATGAGACTTACTTCGCAGCCTCCGCTCTGGACACAACGAAATCAACACTCTCAGCATCCGAGGTTGACGAGTCGCTGATCAAGATAATGGTAGCGATCGGATTGCTTGATTTCCTCGACATCAGGAGATCCATCGCAATATTGGCCCCGTCAACAACATCTGCACGATGGCTCTTTTGCCCAACAGGTCGAATCGATGATAGAATATTTGACCATCCAGCCCAGGCTCTCGAAGTCATACCGACTAGAGGAGCGGCGCCACCACTTGATCCGAAAGTGACTAAGCCCATGCGGTCGCGCTCTCCAAGACTCTGCACCATGAACTGCAAGGCATCTCGCACCAGAGTGATCTTGACACCCTGCATGGAGGAAGAGACCGGGATGACAACAACGATGTCGATCGGAATATGTATTTCTGCTGGCAATCGCGATTTTCGTCCGCTGGTATATTCCGTGGGAGCAGTAGTGGTAGATTGGGGGCCACCAAAAGTCGATGAGTTGACGGACGAGACACGCTTGGAAACTCGTTGCCAGTCCTCCTCGTCTGTCTCGGACAGGTCGTAAACGGGGCTTCGGACCGGAGAGTCTTCGACTGCATTCAAGTCAAGTAGGGCTTGTTGCCAAAGCTTCAATTGGTTCTTGTTGTCAAATCGGAGATGGAAGGAGGGCAGTTCTGCTACGGAGAGGCTCAAAGTTAAAACGTTATCATCTGCTGCTCGAAGATTAGACATCGTGATCTTTTCGGTTTGGCCAAGGTTGCTTTTACCGCTTTCAGTAACTTCATTGAGATGTTTCTTGATCAAAATTGATCCTTTCAGTGTGCACCGGGTGGTTTTCCCACGAGAATTCTGCTCTTCCCATTGTTGCGGCACACCGACCTTCTTTTCCTTCACGCAAATGAGCATGTCGGCGAAGAGAAAGCACTCTAACTCTTGCCACGCCTTCTTATCTTTACCGACTCGAATAGTGCCGTACAGGCGCAGCTTGCCGAACCTGTTCTACGATCAGTACACCCCGCTAGAATAAAAACTCAGCGTACCTGCTAAAGTCCAAGCCATGCCAATTGTCCACTCGACTCCGCAGATTCTCGGTGATTTCCTCCAGTACCTCTGGTGACTCGTATGGATAGAACCGAGGCGCACTTTGCGCCGGCGAAGGAGGCCTCGCGTAGGTATCCTCTGGGCGTATTTTAGGCAAAGGAGGGGCGGTACGAAGATCATCGGGATCTGGTTTCCATTTATTCTCAGGGACTTCGATGGTGACCAAGCAAGTCAGAGTTTGCTGTTGCCGCGACCGGTTCAAAGTTGGAAATTCCGACCTGACACTGACGGACGGAGGGGGTATCGGGTTCCGGGAGACGCTTGCTCTTGGGCTCATCAAACTTGTTTCCATCGATTGAACATCGTATTCGTGGCGCCTTGGCGGGCCACTCATTGAAGTTTCTGAATATCCAACAGATGATACGGTACCGGTACCTGTGGCCTCGGAGCCGTTTCGGGTGTGGGATGCTCTCGAGGATGGAGAGATAATTCTAGCTGCTCGTTCACGACTGTCTCTGCTGTCTCTGTTGTTGCTGCTGTCCCTGGCATGGCTGTCCCTGGTATCCTTAGATTCGCGGCTGCTATCTCTGGGGGTTCGAACTTGCTGTCTCAGGCCTGATTCTCGACTCTCGGGTCGTAAAGTCTGGCTGTCCCAAGCTGTGGGCGTCGGGGTTTGCTGTGATCTGATTGACTGGTCGTTGGCTGATACTGACCGCACGATACCACTTAGCTTTTCTGCAGAGGGATAGACCATCAGCTGTCTGATAGGGAACGAGACGACGAACCGTTGCCAAATTTCTTACCAATGTCAAGAACGTTGCCTCCTCGGTTCGTATCGAGCCCCAACGGCGCATTGCAGGTCGGGCAGTATTGGGAGTCGAGCTCCTTCATATATTCGTAAAAGCATGCTTCGTGTGAGACGTGACCGCAAGAGAATTGCAGTATCCTCTCGCCGCGCAATGTGTGTTCCAGCGGCTCCTCGCAGACAGCACACTCGCTTCCGACAAATGTCCTCTCCCTCCGCGTTCGGCTCCTGTCGGTGTCCAGCATGCCTGTCATGTCTCCTGCCGCTCGATTGCGAGACTCCCTCGAGCGTGTGTTGTTGTGCTTCGTCTTGGGTGTATATTGGCTGGGACGGGCTCGGAAGATTACTGTTCTCTCGAGATTGAATTGGGATTGTCGTTAGTACGTTGATGGGGTGAGTATGAGTCTGCACGGAAACTCCGGTCTTCAGTAGTTGCTGGTGCGAAGCGGGATCAGGGAGAGCATTAGAATAGTGTTTGGTGGTGTAGATGCGGAACGGGTATTGTAGTGAGGGGCGGAGGGGACGTAGGAGACGGACACCATGAAAGGGGTTTAACTAGTACTCACTGTTATTCAGTAAATGGGATCCTGCAATGCGGGCTTTGCTAGGGTCCTCCCTGTCCTTGCTCATTGCCGTTGTGCCGTTCCCTTGCCCCCTGGCTCTCTTATCCGAGTCCGCTAAGTAGGAGACCGGGAGACCAAGCTCAACCAGGCCCGCAAATTGGTTGTCGGATGTGGTGGCAGGAGAAGCGGTGCCCAGGTCTCTGCTGGGATAGACGTGACTGAGAAATCTTCTTGAAGTGTACTTCGTCACTTAGCAATACCCCTATCTCTTGAGGCGGAATACCCAGACGTTCGGGTTCAGGTCCTGGGCCAGAAACTTGGGACTCTGGCTGGAAAATATCCTTCCAGCGCCTTTGTTTCAGGGGACTGCGGTTTCAAGTCAAGACGCCGTACAGTAATAATGGTTGAGCCCGCAAATCTCGCGCGAGACTCGATTCTGGGAGGAGGTGAAGTCGCAGTGGGAGGGGAGTCTGGCGAAGTTGAGAGGATGCTAATGCAGACCGGCATACATAACAGCCTGGTTTCACAAAAAGCTGGGAGTCGATCACAGCTGGATGGAGAACCTGTGCCGACCAATTTCTCGATGGGACAGAAGGGTGAGTCGGTCGGCAGACAGACTCGGAATCTTGGGTCTTGGCCAGTGGATTGGACTACTGACGGAAGATCCGGAGCTCCTAACTTTGGGTACCTTGCTCTCCGGAACCAAAGCAAAGGAGGACTTGATATTTGGCCTGCCATGAGCAGCGATGGCTCGGGGCAGCATTTCGTTAACGAGTACGGAGTATGGGAATAGTTCAGAGGCTGAAGTGGTGGACGGGTAGGATCCGATTTCGGGACAGGTCCTCGTGTATGGATAGATGCGATCGGGCCCGGGGTCAGGTTCAGGCTCGGGCTCGGGCTTGGGATGAAGGAGCGCTCAGCTGGGAATCCGATCCGTCAAGACAGCTTGCCAGCTTGCCAGCTTCCCACCGTGAAGCCGGCGATGCTTCAGGATGCCGCACTCATTGCCCTGCCCTGCCCTGCCCTGCCTTGTCCTGTCCTGTCCTGCCCTACCCTCCTGCCCTCAGCCCTGCCTCTGCCATGCCCCATCCATGCCCCTAGGCTTGTACCCTCGTCGTCGCTCGGACATTTTGACATCGTCGTCGGGTCCCCCTGGGGGAAGGTCGTCGTCGGCCGTCGCCATTTTGGCTCGGGCGTGGCGCGGCGCGGCGTGGCGTACCGTGGCGTAGTGTAGTAGTTGAGGGCGAAGGTTGATTGATGACGATGAGGTGTGATTCGCTAGTAAAGCAGTCGGCTGCTGATACGAGTCCGAGCTATTCTGACTAGCTTTTTACGAATACGAACCCAGCTGCCAAAAGTCTGCAGACTGGGCTACTGTAGAGTATCAACTACCAACTACTTCTATACTGCCACTACGGCATATCCTGTGTGACCTTTGGTCTCGTCACCGACATTTGTCCTTTGAATTATTGGGTTGGGTAATACAAAAGGCAAGCAGGCCTCCACGCCTCGAAGTCAAAGTAAATACGTGCATGAACTAGTACCGGTAGTAGTAGTACGTAGTAGTAGTAGTAGTACCTAGTACTACGTACTTTTACCAAGTACTTACTTATACTTCAATGTTCTGCACCGGGAGACTGGGTGGGCTTTGGTACTTTTCTCTGCTCGTCCGAGCTCAATACTTCATACCCTCGTCTCTTTATTTGATATGGAGCTTTCTTACGTACAACTCTACTAGTATGTCTCTTCGTGCTGATATGACCATTCTTGCAGCTCCATACGGAGTTCTGCTATCACAGTCAGAGGCTCTGTCTGGCTATTCACAATGCCCCAGTAGGAGACTTCAATAAGTAGTCCTCTGGGTCCCTGCTATCCATGTCGCTGCCAAAAGCCTCTATCCTGGTCTCTTCTGCAAGTGAGCCCCCTACTGCAGAAACTTGGCGGGTGCCTCTACAGAGTACTACGTAAATGGGTAGCTTCATGTGCTACTACTAGTAGTATCTTGAAGTAAGTACGTACGTAGTAGTACTAGGTACAGTTCATGTAAACAAACCAGGACGAAAGCCAAGTCCAAAGTTCCGCGAACATGATGTCCAGCTACCAGAATCGCTAAGTTAACAGCTACAAGGATCGCAAAGTGTTTTTCTCAAAACAATATGGCTCGGTACAGTGAAGCACCGATTCCATGCCCAGAGGAGGAGAGACACACAGCCCCAAGCTCTCCGTTTCCAGCAAGAAATCCTACCACATTTTTCCTTACCGACTTCTGCTGCGACCCGACCGCGGAAATATTAGCCAGTGGGGAAGGTCTCTTCCACACATTTGGGACGGCTCGTTCGTTGTACTGATATTGATTCGGAAATTTGTGAATCCTAAAGGATGTCCGGTTTGAGCGATCCCCTCCATAATCTCTATTTCTACCGTTTCTATCATTTCGCTACTCTAGGAAGATCAGAGTAGGCTGGTATGTCTTAAACTACGGGACATGGCGCCACGTACCTACGCTCGAACTCCGCTATCAAGTCCTAACTCATGATCAGATGACAAAGCCGGGTACTCTCCATAGTCGAGTTTCGATATCTCGAGGACGCCTCCAGATATACTACTATCGAGGACGCCAAGGCTAATGCATAATCTTGTGCACAAACGGCGCGGGCCTTGCGGGGCCAGATAAGCGAACAGTACTATTTTGTATGGCGGGGCTATCTTAAGTAGCAGGATCATAGCAAAAGCATGATGTCAAAAAGCGTCGAATTAAATGATTAATTAGAAATAAAAAATATGTTACAATTGGTTCACCGATGTAGGAGGGGATTCCGTAGATGAAATGAAGCTTGTGTAATTCTATATAAGAGACTGACGATACAAAAGCTATATACTGTAGTACGCTAGTGCGCCATTTAAGCAATGTAATGTGAGCCGGGACTTATGTAAAGCCTCAGGCATGCACAGCTGCTCTGTACAAACAGTTTGAGCGGAGCCTGAGGCATGCAATAGAGCAGGGCTGTTCCGCATAAAAAAAATAAAGACATATTATTATAATCGCTTTTGTGCCTCGATTGCTTCTATTTCTTAGTCTATAAGTCGCCTCTTCTTTGAGTGCCACACGCTAAGTCTCTCTTTTTGCGTTTTTTTATCTCCATTAGCTATTGCTTGCGTACCGATTTCTTTAAAAGCATCTTTGTTAATCAATTGCGATTCAGCTAGGTAATGGTGTTATGAAATTTGATTAGCATTAGCGCTGTCCTCGTCACTATTACGTACAAAAATCAAAGTACTCAAGCTCGTTAAGCTCGCCTTACTACTATGTTTCAATTAAAGATTCAGCTTGCGGAGATTCCAATTGTGAAGCTTATATTGTTTTTAAAACCTCGTTAATATCGAAGCTATTATTATCAAGATCACGCTATTGCGGCATTTCGAAAAATATATCAAATAAATAAGAAGATTTAGACTATTTTCGGCGAGAGGCGTCATTGCGTGCTTAAGAGCGCTCATTAAAACGGGTGGCCATTTTAAAGTTTACGAAAAGTGAGAATATACTACTACTACTACGTAGTAAGGCAGTAAAGGTGGGAATAGTAGTAGCTTGAATAATAGCGGCGATGATAGGGTTAGGCAACTAGGTTACACTGGTCTGCAATGCAGATAGGATTTGCTAACGAATAACTAGGGGCGCTAATCGCTAGTTCAGCCCTCCCCTACCCCTTTCGTATTTCTATGCATTAGCCTTGGCGTCCTCGATATATCTACCGGCGTCCTCGAGATATCCAAACTCCACTATTCAACTCCACCAATTCTGCGCTTCGGCGGAGACTTCAAAACCTTCAAATAGTACAATAAAATAGCGTCAGCTTCGGAGTCCACCTGCACAGACCGCATTTGATAGTGAACTTACAGTGGCATCATTCTAAGCAATATTTGCCGAAAGTCTCTGGGGTTCAAGCCGGTGGTGGTTCACAAGACCGAGTCAGGACCACCGATACACATACAGTACCTACTACGTACTACGTACTACGTCGCAGGCGTAAGTATTACCCCTTGAGGGTAGGGTAAGCAGGGGGGTTGAATTGGAATCTAAACTTTTGAGGCACCCTCGAGGGGTAATACTTAGGCCTGTACCGTGGGTACAACGTACTGTATGTCAAGCGGATCATCGGCCTTTCAACTTGAGCAAACAACAGCGGGCTTTACTTCAATACGACGCTGCCATCGCTTGTGTATCTTCTTCACCAGAATGCTACCTAGTGCCGAGACTGGCTATCCTTCAATGTTGCGCACCGCTTCTAGACCCGTCAAACCTTCCAAGTCCAGGAAGAGATAAGTAATGGCCCTCTCGTTATGTTTTTTGCTGCGTCGGTTAATCGGCGCTATCCTCGTCAAACCGCCTTGTTATTGTCACTCTCCCGTCAATTCTTGCTGTCTTATCGCTCGCTGCCTTATCCTATTGAAGACTACGAATCTAGACTATACACGGCAACTAAAAAAGCTGCATTTCCCAGTCGAAAGCCCAAGAACATATAGTAGTAGTACGTCAGTTGAGGGTCTCTACCGTACTACAGAGTACTCTGTATATCCACAAAACTTTAATTACCACGACTCTTATCCCGTATCGTAGTCCTTGAACGAACCTAATCTTTCCGTCTTCAAGTCCGTAGGTTGGCCCTCCACCTTCCGTTTTCATCAACTTCATGCGAACCCGCGCTTAGTAGTACATGTTCAATATGTAGTCCGTCCTACTACCCTGACTAAAGATACTCCATAAATGTCGGCGTGGCCACGGTGGCACGAGCCAGAACCCGGCCAAAATCTATCCGTGCCAGCCTGGGATACGGTACGTACTACGTACAGTAGTAGTAGTAGGTATGGAAATGCTACGTAGGCAGTTGAGCGATGCACGCCAATGATGCCATCCCATCCCGGGTCCCTATCCGGTGTCTCGTGCCCAGATCTAGCGTTTCCCCTCGACTCGGCGCGATAACAAGTAGATATACTGCGCAGAGCTGGCGATCATTCCTCGTGGTCGGTTGTCGTATATTACCCAATACCATACAGGTACCAAAAACTCCGTACGCGGCCAACTTGCATAATCAAGGGCGTTCAATCAATCTGCTGACAGCCATCTCTCTGCAGAGGTTGCAAAATGAATCCTTCTCTCTGCACGAGAGCGAAGAGGCACCGACGAGGCAAGATCTATCAACTCCTTCTGCCGAGCATTCAAGAGACGACAGAGTAGGCTAGGCTAGGATAGGCGCAGCCTTCCCAGAAACAACTCCCCCATTCTCTTTATTTCAAAGCAAGAATAAGTACGTAGTACGTAGTACGGGAAAAGTGCAGCGCAGCAGACGATCGAGTGGCGCATCGTTGTCAGAAAGGAGCATCAACCGCTCCTTCTGGAAAGAGTCAAAGCTTCAGAAAGATCAGATGCCTCCAATTCCCAAGACTGCCCGGCTGCTTTCGCTTAAGGCGTTATTCGCTTCTTCTCGGAAGATGACGCTTGTATTGAAAGAGAAAGGGAAAAGAAAAATTACCAATGATTCCGTTAATTCAATCTTCCTCTCAAATCTTGAATCTTCGCTAGAGGCTGACAGTTTTCACCATCCCGTTAGCCATGATATTCAATGCACACCGGTACTCAGAATCCGGGCTTGCGCTCCAACCTGGCAATATCCAGCATCGACTTCCTCCCATGCTTTCCTGCTCCCTCATCCTTCGGTATAATCAAGCCCGATATCGCAGAGCTGCAATTTCAAACGCCTTTACAGCCCTGCCAATCAGGATCTCGTACTATACAGCTCGGCGAATTGTTCACGCCTGTGCCTTGCTGCCTTACCACCTTTCGGAGCAGGGACAGGAGGAGCGTGGTATACAAGATGAGGATCTACCCGTTTTCCACACTACCCTCTTTGTGACCCTTCTTCGTAAGGGTTCTGTTATATCGGCGGATTACAAATCCTATCGGACCTATACGGTGGCGAGAGATATTTCTAATCCAAGACTCCGAGTCTCCGCGGTGATTTACGAGAAAGCTGCTTGCTGCTCGGTCGGTAGCAACACAAAGGCAGACCGTTCACCTCGTAGCTGAGTGATCCAGTAAGCTCATGTCAGATCGAAGTTGCACAATATTACAAATATTCGTATCTCACAGGGGAATCCCAAGCCTTAGCCTTACGAGTCACAAAAAGCCCTACCAGTATCACCCGTTCGATTCGGAATCCGGGCCATTTCCGCACGTTTTGCGGAGGGAGAGTAACTGCGCCAGCAGCTGCCATCACATCCTCGTGCATTTGTATCCCCGTCGTTCGGGAAGGCTGATAGACAAAGTTTTCCATATGCATATTTGCAGACGGCGTATGCCAGCTCCCATATGCGTTCGTCCCGTTCCCCGTTGACCCGGGAGGAACAAATGTATTGTCGTTTCAACTAAACCCGCGACGTGCAACAAGCTGCTGTACCCAGGTATTTCTTCCCATCTAATCGTCGGCTCGCTTAAGTAGGCCTCCCTCCTACCATCCTCTCAGTCTGAAAGGATGAGCCGACGAGCACCTACCTACAACATGCTCGTCATCGGTCATGTCTTCCCAGCGTGATGATAAGGTCGTGAACTTATTGCGTCACGTCAGAGCGGGTAGGTAGCGTCGTATCGCACGGTGGCCGTCGTTTCAAAAAGATACGAAAGATGCCAATGTATCCCGTTTCAGCTGATAAGCTCGCGAAAGGCAAAACGTACTCTTCTCCAACCAATTCCCCTGCTCCACGCCAAAGTGAAGAGTTCCTCAGCATAATCTGCATTTGAGATACTCATTTCGGAAATCTGTTCCAAGGGATAATTCTATTATAGCTTTACGGAGCCACTCCGTGGATCCCAAAAGTGCGATAAACTTGCGAGTGGTTTGCAGGTCTTGTAAATTACTTGCAGGTTGAAATATACTTTAAACGTAATTTAACTTTCTTTTTAGTAGTTTAGATTGCTCTAATGATGTTTATCGACGCTGTGAGAGCTCTCGGCTTTCTCTTGTAAAACGTGCGAAGAGTTTTGCCTTTCAAGATCTCGCTTGCAACGGACCTTGACTCTTTGGTAATAGCTTGGCGCACGAACGTCTCAAGACCCGCGTATTTCCAGCCGCCTGTAGGGCTGCATATTCAGATGCAGACTCGATGTTTCGAGATTGACGTCGTAGATGAATGTCTCGTTTTACTTAAAAGTGCGATGTGCAACAAATCTTCCCTATGAGTTGAAAACTTCGTAAGCAATCATCAACTACACCGAGGAGGAGATCATGCAAAGGCTGTTCCAAGTGAAGCTTCGAAGCCTCGGGTTACTACGAAGTAGATGACTGACTCGCTTTACAGTGTACTCTATGCATTCCGGATGCGAATGGAACAGATTATACCTTTCTCTCCGTATGAGACTGCAGTGCGAGATGAGGATATCTGAACGACCTACTAGTCAAGCCTTAGTTAGTACTTTCGGCACGATAAGATGGGAAAAAAAAGGGTAGCCCCGTTTCGACTAAAAATGCGATGTGCAACAATCTTTCACTTCTCGTTAACTCATCCGACATTAGATTATTATAATTAACTGACTGCTATTCTCTAACGAAGCTTGCTAATTCCAACTAGCTGTCATGTTTCGACTAAAGGTGCGATGTGCAACAAATCATAACTTGAATATTTACGACCCCATCAAATTTCTCTGATCGTCGACCATTTCACTTGATTCTGTCAATCGGAATATCTAGTTAAGGATCTATCCGTTTCGTTTTGAGATCAAGATACATGTGGAGTATTTACTCGTTCCGCCTACTACGTCGCAGGCGTAAGTATTACCCCTCGAGGGTACGGAAAACAGGGGTTTTAAAGTGGAAACTAGACTTTGGAGGCACCCTCGAGGGGTAATACTTAGGCCTGTACCGTGGTATATACCCCGCCAACCACCTTGTCAATCCATACTCCTCGCCAACCTAATATAGAAGACCTACTGTACGCAGCTTACCCCCAGTCCGAATAGTATTAATACAGAGTACTGTATGAGAATATCTCGTCTCAACTATAGCTGCGATATGCAACAAATCGGCGCAACTTCAATATGAAGCGTCTCGCTGTGCTGCTAAACTCTAAACCATGCTACCAAAAGCCAAAGAAACACCACCTAAAGTACGTACTACGTAGTAGTACCTACCTACTCTCTCTTATAGCCCGCCCATCCGAGCATATCCTCTGAAACCTCGACGTCTCACGACAAAGATGTAAACGAGGTTGATTTATATTGTTTTGTTCTACCCGATTATATTACCCTTCCTATCCTCTCTCCTCTTCCTGTCCTTTCTCCTCTTCCATCTACCTACTTACTACCTCCCAGGCGTAATAATTACCGCCTGAGGGTTAGGAAACCAGAGGGTTCAAAGTGAAGATTTAGACTTTTGAGCCACCCTCAGGCGGTAATGTTGTGATAGGGCTGTACTGTGGTACAACATCTAACTTATTAATCCCAGCTACCCTTACCCCCCCATCAATTCAGCTGTAGGTACACTTCTAGATCATTCCTGTACTCTCCCTCCCCCCATGTTTAAATATCGGACCCAGCTTAGCCCCATAAATTGTAGAGCGGTGGTTTCTACGTAGTACTACGTACTACTACCGGTACTAGTACCACGGTACAGGCCTAAGTATTACCCCTCGAGGGTGCCTCCAAAGTCTAGTTTCCACTTTAAAACCCCTGTTTTCCGTACCCTCGAGGGGTAATACTTACGCCTGCGACGTAGTACATGGCTCGAAGCCTTGTCAACTCTATATTGTACAGGCTAAATACATGCTTGAAGATAGATACTTTTCAAGGCTGAATCGCTATATGTCTATTGGTTCGAACGTTGGGAAGAGACCTTGCAAGATTATACTTTCGTCTTGTATTCAAGGACAGACCCAGTTTCGTCCCATACCTGTAAATCGTATAGCGGTCGCTTTCGAATGGCTTCAAGCCTTATCAACTCTTTTGTACAGATTGAATACTTGCTTGAAGATAGATACTTTTCAAGGCTGAATCGCTATAAGTTTATTGGTTCGAGTCCTGGTAAGAGTTCTTACAAAATTACTCCGTATACTTTCATCTTTTATTTAAGGGGATAGTAGCGAGGTACGATAAAGGCAAGTAGGGGGTTAGCTATGTCAACAGTCCTCTGACCCTCCTTTATAAAAGACGGTTATTGGACTATCTAAATTCAGTACTAAGCTCTATCCGGGATCAGCTAAGCTACAGTAATACACCACCCCTGACCGTCCAATTGAACGAGACCGTCCTGCAGTCGTCCTATAGCCGTTCTCGTCTAAATTTTCAAAACGAACTCATATTCAAACGTTCCGGAAATGGTTTATATTTTTCAATCGAGGGAAATATGACTTCGTTTAAAGATCCTGCTTTTTAAGTTGATATTCTTTCCAAACTATTCCTCGGTATCGCTACTACAGCTTATAGTATATCAACGCTTTGATATTTTTGAAATCGGAAACGATTGATTGAGCAAAGGTTGACCCGATCCCCGCCCGGCTCCCACGACGTACAAGTACAGGGGTGGATGAGAGGTGGGAGAGGCTAGGGACCCAGGGAGGAGTCAAATGGCTAAGGAGGTGTTAATAAATTCTTTGCTTACTCATATAGTAAGTTCTCGAGGACGGTTTCAAAGTTCCGGGACGGTCTTGGGACGGCACAGGGGCGGTTCAAGGGACGGTCCCGAACGGTCTTTTAGCGAAAAGACGAGCTCTTACATAAGACGGCTGTATCGATTAAAATGGTTCCATTTCAGCTACGATTTGAAGGAGTTAAATCGTTTGTTTTCAGAATGCATTCGATCTCAGGTATCGGCGTGGGGTGATCCACTCACTAGCCATGCTTGCTAACCTCTTGGGATCGTCCCTACTCCGCCGAAGAGATCGTTATTGGATGGTCAGCAGCTGACCGTTGAAATAACCATCTACTTTCTTTTGAGGTACTTAACAACAGTAAGCAAGCATATCCGAATCCACAATCTGTCGCATCGACTAGAAATGCGATGTGCAACAAAAGCCAGCGTTGCCACATTAGCCTGAGCAGCAAGCGGTTCGGGAGTACTGATGTGTGTTCGCCCTTAAAACGAGTCAAACCCTGGCTTTTGGAGGGCAGCTACTATTCTACTACCCTATTATGGCGAACGGGGTTCGAGAACCTGGTGGAGAGAGAGAGAGAGAGAGTCCTGCAAGTGCGTACGTCCCGAGCGTAAAGGTGAAACATAAATACAACTATCTGTTTGGTTTTCACGCGCGCTAAGTGTATATTTGGAATTCAAGTCACACGTTGTATGATTTATCTATAGCATCGCACCTCTGGTCTTTGTCCCAATCTATAACCAAATGCCTAACCTCGTTGTCATTCTCCACATGGTTATCCCTGGATTCTGTCCACTTCGAGAGGATCAGACAAGATTATCTCGCGAATCATGTGACAATGTCTCAAGCCTAGCGTGATAGGCCAAAATCTAGAGCTTTACATACTATCGTCATTACGAACCTTTCCACCTCTCTTCGCCAACACCTATTTCACTGTACACAGTCTACACTCAACGGTGGCGACTGTATGATCCAATGGCCAGACAATGCGATGTCCTATCCTTTGTACCCGATTCGCCTAGCTCGGATAACCGGGTCAAGAACGTGTTCCTTTGACGAACACACATCAAGGATACAATAGTAAGTCCTCCGGAGGGAAAACTCCCGCTCTAGCTGCCATGTTTCTTTGGGCCCGGAAGCTGTGTTGGCTCAGGGCAACCAATCAACCGTCACGCGCATCAATATGCTGCATTCTTTGCTCGTTGCATTTTTCGGTAAATCATTGCTAGTTGGAAACTTGCAGGTTTTCTATCTTAGATATGTCTGTTTTTCGCTCCATGGTTTTTTATGCGTCTTTCAAACACAAACACATATAAATATACCGTCAGGATCTTTGCCCGTATCACCACAAACTGCTTCAAATTCGTACTCCAGTCCTTGAGATTCCTGTCTCGCCGCCAAGTGGAAATGAGAGATCAGCCAGATCCTTGGCCCCAAAGTGCTACGGGGGGTTGTACGCTTGTGCGGAAAGCTGGTGAGTAGCCATGGTCAAAATGAAAAGCCTGTATTAATGATCGAAGGACCTCTGGAGGTTTTGACGCACCTCCTCCACGATCTTGGAGTCGAGTCAAATGTGCTGGTAGCGTGCGAGTATTCCCATGGCACCAAAAGTCTATCACCAGCCCAATTGTTTCGGATTCTGGAAAAAGTGATCACGGAGATTCCTGAGCTCGCAGTCATTCTTACTAGCCAACCGTCCAACAATAAAAGGGGAAACCACCAGACCTGGGAAGCCCGGCTCCCGTTCATTCGCTTTCATGACTGTGTCGAATTCGTGGAAGACCTTACAGAGGATAGAGATATCGCTCTTGCTCGGGTCATAGAGAGCAGTCATAATCGTTGGTTCGACACCACGGATACCACGAAGCCATGGTGGAGGCTTCTCATCCTGAATAGTCGATATGTAGTGTTTGTCTTTCATCACTCGATAGGCGATGGAATGTCCGGGTATGCGTTCCACAGGAGTTTCCTTGCAGCTTTGAACGCCGACTCTCCCGATACACACGAGGATGCAGCGGCAGCAGAATTTGAGGGGAAAGTGTTCCAAGTCCACGAACCGAATCACCCGCCTGTACCTCTTGCTATTGAATCCATTGACCTGAAGCTCTCATATTTTCGCATCATATGCACTTTTCTGAAATGGCAGATCATTCGCATGCTTTACCGGCCCAAGCATTTTCTGTTTTCGGACGCGGTAGTCGACAAGACGTATCCAACATATACAAAGCGGTTTCCCGTCGAGAAGCGCACCCGTTCTCGAGTTGAGACTCTCAGGATTAACAAGGATACAATGAGCAAGTGTCTCACCAGCTGTCGAAAACACAAGACTAGCTTCACGGCCCTTTTTCAAACCATCGTTTCTGCCACTTTGGCTGCAGACGTTTATCCTAACGCCAAAATCGGGCTCAGCAGAATGGCTGTCAATATCCGACCCTTCATGACATCTGATCCAGGCCTCGACGTTTTCACAAACGCATCAGCAACATATTACTGCACGCACCGCCTGGTTAAATACCGCGCTGCAGCTCACGATAACGCTGCTCTGTGGAAACTAGCAACGGATTACAAAAACCACATGCAAAATTCCATCTACAAAACCGGGGCGGTCCTCCAGGGATTCTTGACTTGCACTTTGCTCGGAGACGATGACGAAGACGTTGGTGCTTTCTCTGGCCTAAGGCTGTATCTGCACAATTCTTTCCTCATCTCGAATATCGGGGTATTCAAACCCAAGGATGGGATGGAGGACGGAGGGTGGGTCGTTACCGATGTAGCGTTTTGCGCTGCTGCTTTAAGGGCGTCGATGGGTGATTACGGGATGGCTTTCATGATTGCGAGTGCAAAGAATGGGGATTGTATTGTTACAGCGACTTGGGAAGACGGGGTGTTGAAGGACGAGATGGTGAGAAGTGTCCTCGGAGCAGTCTTCACGAGACTGGAGTCTTTAAACTCATGACACAGTCTCTTTGCTCTTCTGTTTTCTTTTATCTGGCAGCTGGTCTCACAACTGGCCATACGAGGAATTGATTTAGATTCGCGGTAGTTTTGTGAAATTTTCTGTTCCCCCCCTTTTTCTGCCTCAACACCGTGTCGCTATTGTATAGGTACTTGCTCAACCTGCCCTTTTTTGGCCCCTTTCTTCTCACGTGCTCGGTGTCAAGTGATCAAGCACCGGTGAGTCCTCTGCCTCAGATCCAAGACGCCTCTTTGTGCGTGCAACCAAGTAAATAATTGGCAGCTCTCACTCAGGCTCTTGCTTTCGAATTCCTGAACTACCCATGTATACCAATTTCCATTTGCCCTTCGAGCTGCGAGCCTAGAGAAGCGTTCTTCGTCTTTCAACGTCTCGCTTTCAACGACGCCGGAATTAATCCTGCAGCCGGCTGCTTCATCCGCTTCGAAACTTTGCCTCCTCCTTATTACTGCAATGTGTTCCTCGATCAGCTGCTGAAGAAAGGCATCGAAAGCCATCCACGGTCTGACTGCGTATATGGTGATGGGGCCGCGCTTATGAGACGGGTGGCATGCTTATGGAACATTTCCCCTGCAAAAGATTGGCGGTCTTGTCCCAATTGCGGACCGCTACATTAGCATTACTCAGCCTTGCTGGTGGTGCCGGCATCGTGGACCTGGTCTCAGAAGCCTGATTCGCTTCCTTTGTCCAGTGTCAACTGGAGGTGGCATGTTGGCTGACGGCAAAGAGCTGCTTCCCGCTGGACCCTGGTTTCAGACAGCTCCGTGGATGCTGGAAGCGAGATGGATGATCATATCATACTCTGTATTTCTTTACGCGCTCATGTGGTATAATGCAGGTATCTGCTGCTTGTCTTGTTTCTCTTTTCATATCGACTGCGTCGCCAGCATCTGAGCATAAGGAATTGATCACAAGAATTAAATATGGCGGAGCTGTCTTTCATTGACCGGATCATCATCGAGCTCTTCAAAGGCGTCAACAAGTTTGTCGAGTGGCATAGGCTTCCAAGATACATCGGCGTGTTCAACCTCCTGGCCTTCCGCCTTGAACTGGACCACGATAACCTGTACGATGTGTATCCAGATGCTAGTGCTCAAGGAACTGAAGCTAGCTGTCTGATGAAGGATCCTCGATTCTTGAAGGCCAGAAATTCAGATGGGAAGTTCAATTCACTGAAACAACCGTTGATGGGGTGTTCTGGTATGCGATTCGGGAGGAACGTTCCAAGAGACGATACGAACAAGCCGAGCGATGAGGAGCTCATGAGTCCAAGCCCCAGACTGGTAAGCGAGCAGCTGCTTGCGAGAACTAAATTCAAGCCAGCTACTATTGTCAATCTTTTGGCAGCTGCAGTGAGTCTCCTCAAACCAACCCCAAAAGCCTTCATGCTAACAGTCTACAGTGGATCCAGTTTCAAGTCCACGACTGGTTCCAACATGACGTGGTATGGGCATCATCTCAGATCTTTACGAGAAGAGATATCTAACTACGATAGAATGAGCCTAGAAACAACGAAGTGGAAATCCCTCTGCCACCGAATGACACATGGCCATCTGGACACATGAAAATTCCCCGTTCGAAGCCGGATAAGACCCTTTCAAAGACCGATACTTCATCTCCGGCCTACATTAACGTGAACTCGTAAGAGCCGAGTTCTCACCATCTCAACTCAAGACGCGAGACTAACAAACGAGCAGGAGCTGGTGGGATGCTAGCCAGATCTACGGGTCCAACGAAGCAACTACTACCTCTCTCCGTGACAACGCACCCAATGGCAAGCTCTTCTTGAGGAAGAAAGGCTTTGTCGACTTCTTACCAAGAGATGAGAACGACCTACCAAAGACTGGCTTTAACACCAACTGGTGGCTCGGGCTGGAACTCATGCACACTCTTTTCGCTTTAGAGCATAACGCCATCTGTGACATGTTACTTGCGAAACATCCAGACTGGTGCAGGTATATTATCTAGACTTGCTCTGCCTAGCATCCGCTGACGCTCAAAAGCGACCAGTTATTCGACACCGCCCGTACCATCAACAGTGCCTTGATGGCCAAGATTCACACTGTGGAATGGACTCCAGCGATTCTCAACCACCCAACCATCGACATAGCCTTGCACGCAAATTGGTGGGGTCTGATCGGAGAAAAGCTTAATAAACTTGTTGGTCGAGTCGTGAAGAATGACATTATATTTGGCATCCCCGGCTCAGGAGTCGATCAACATAACGTCCCGTTCTCCCTTACCGAAGAGTTCGTCTCCGTGTATCGTCTGCACCCTCTGATACCCGGTAAACACCACCTTCTCAACGGAATGAAATAGCAGTCACTAACAGGCGGACCAGACAACGTAGCATTCTTCTCTACCTCGACCGGCTCCCACACCAAAACGATCCCTATCGCCGACCTTGCCTTCCAAAAGGCCCAAAACGCAATTGATCCACAAACCTCCTTCGGCGACGCCTTCTACTCCTTCGGTATCAACTACCCTGGCGCCATAACGCACCACAACACCCCCAACTTCCTCCGCAATCTCAAATCCCCTGACGGTCTCCTCCGCGACCTCGGAACGCTGGATATCATGCGCGACAGAGAGCGCGGCGTGCCACGCTACATGGCCTTCCGCCGCCTCGTACACATGCGCGTTCCCAAATCCTTCCTCGAGCTCACCGGTCAAGACGCTGCCCTCGCTGAAGAGCTATCCACGATCTACGCCGGCGACCTTGAAAGGGTCGACTTGATGGCCGGCATGTTCTGCGAGCCGCTGCCCGAGGGATTTGGGTTCAGCGATACGGCGTTTCGGATCTTCATCTTGATGGCCAGTAGGCGGATCAAGAGCGATAGGTTCCTGGCGGGGGATGCGTGGAGCGAGAAGGTGTATACGAAGGAAGGGATGGAGTGGGTTGCTGACCAGACCATGGGGAGCGTATTGAAGAGGCACTTCCCGGAGTTGGCAAAGCCGTTGGAGGGGAAGGATAATGCGTTTAGGCCATGGAATAAGGTGGGAGAGAGCGGCAATTACAAGGGCGAGGAGACGAATGCGTGAGTATGATGAAGCTGTGTGTTGACCGGCAGCATGCTATGATCTGGATGGCCTTGGGTAGGGATGATTCATATTCAAATCGTACTTCTGTGGATAGCCTTTTATGCAACAGCGGGCACGGTTATACAACTGACTGTATTTGAACTTTCATCTCATTTTCCTATTCAGAAGTTGATGTTAGTCAGTTAGTCACTGATCCTGATAAGGCCTTGGCAGCTTCCGCTCTTCGAGATACCGGATAGGTGACGAATAGATCCGTACCAACATATTCGCAAGCGGATAGCGTTTCGTCGACTATGGATTAATTTCATGTTCACCACCTTACCAGAATGTGACGACGCCCACGGTCTGCATCTGGTAATAAGAGAATGGTTCCTGATAGGCGAGCAGGTCCCGCTCGCCGCCCTTGCTCGTCACACCAGACCAGGAGCGCATGCAGTAGTCCCTCTTTCTGAGGAACATCCGCTGGCAGCTATATATAGGTCTTCCTAAGGGAAAGTGTGCTTTTGAGTGCAGATGTGCGCATATGGGTAGATGCGATGGTTTCTACCTTGAGCCATCCCCTCGTGCAATTTCAGTCACGAGTGAGTGGCCCGAGAGGGTTCCTGAAGATTGTTTGGCCCTGATTGATAAGCTTGAATAATTCGCGTGGTGAAATGTCCGACCTGGCAGACTGGGATTGAGAATCAAAATAGATTCTCGGCAGATATTGCGACCGAGTCTTTTGATATTCCCGCCTCAGGGGTTGCGATACGATGCCTGTTTACAGGTCTCGCTTAGTCTTACTCGCTGCAGCGAGCGTGTGTCTATCATCAATGAGCCGCTGCGGTACAGTACAGAATGCCGCTTTCTTTCTATTTTTAAATGCATCTTCGCGACATCGGAGTCGTCCAATGAAAATTCTGTATGCCTTCAAAATACGTAGTAGCGTGCTTCGTGAACCTGGGTGGATTTGCAGCGCTTACAACCCCAGATCTGCACATCTATGATTTCAAGCGGGGTTGCGTGGCACCTATCCGCATGTCTGGAAAAGTACAACCGGCTCTTTAGTTCAGGATGCTACCGCTTTGCAAGAAGGCTATTCTTAGTACCGGCGTCAATAGACCATCTGCAAGTTTCTCGGCTCTTGTATAATATCACTTGTCCAGACCTCTACAAATCTCATATCTTTCAATATCGCTGTCTTCATATCATTGACATTTGCTACGGGCATCAGTTTTGTCGTCTTCTCCTTTCCCCTCACTCTCCTCAATATCTGCTTTCACAATCTATCATGCCTTCCATCACTATTACCAAAGACCGCATCTCCTCTCCTCTCGAAGCCGGTCCCTCACTGCTTGAGGCAAAACAGCTATCTCCTCAACTCACAGTCGCACTTGATTACGTCTCCAGTCGACTGGCGAGAAAACGACTCCACCTCTCCCTCATCGTCGTCCGCAAAGACACCCAAATCCCACAACACATCGCGTCTTCACAAGTATCGCCTAAGCGAGCCGATTCCCCAGGTCATTCCATCACTACCTCCCCCGCGAGATCCCTATTTGGTGGATCAAGCTTCACTCGGATGCCAAGCAAAAGCTCGCTCTCATCCATATCTGATACATCATCCTCAACTTCATCGTCCTCTTCCACAGCTTCGTTGTCAAGGACGAATTGGCCTAGCTTGCCCACCTCACCTGCCGACAGGACCGTGAGCCCATCTGCTACGCCTGCGCAGCCAGCTTCTCCAGCTACACCAAACCCTTATGGCATTACGTTGATGCATGCGAGTACTTTGACGGAAAAGGCTGAGAAGATATTAAGACATGTTATCGCTAAAGCAGAGAAGAAGTTCTCTATTGGGTAAATCATCCTGTCCTCTTCCCCCTCGGTATCATTGTCAAGTGTGTCTCAACAGTTTCCAATTTAATTTGTGCTTGAGACCCGTGCTCTGCAATGTTACGTTGTTACGCAACTCGGGTCCATTGCCACCCAGTCACTTCACTTCACTTACATATCTCCTCATTATCTTCTCAACGCAGTAGCAGGCCAGAGTAGAAACTAACGCCCACCTCCTAGATCCGGCTGGCTCTCCCCCGCCCCATTGAACAACAACACAGCCTGCCCCCTGACAAACGACCTCATCCGCTGCTCTCTAGCCCAAAACGAAATTCTCTTCTCCTCCGAGGGCCTCACGCTTCTCGCTCTCGACCACGTCTATGCCTTCAAATGCCATCTCCACACCTACTCCCGCACGCTCACCCCCTTCGACCTCACATCCGCAGTCGATGAGCTCCGCCGCCTCGTGCTCGCCCAACAAGGCCGTCGCATCACAAAGGGATACCTGATGCGCGCGTATGCGTGGCTGGGCGTCAGCTTGGCAGCGCTGGTCGACGTCAACGAGGGCTACAAAGTCGCCTACGGTGGAAGGGAGAGGACGGGAGGGATCGAGGTTGCGAACGAGGAGCGGAAAAGCCCGCCGCCCCTCAACACCAAGTTCTTGCTCCAGACGCCGAGTCAGACGCGCCATCATCAACAACAGCCCAGGAAGCTGCGCTTGACAATCGGCTCGGATCTCTCGTCGAGGAGTGCTCTTGGGAGGAGGGAAAGCTGCTGTGAGAGTAGCTGTAGCAGCGATGACGAGGCGAGGACCTTGGCTAGTGTTGCGGTGGGCGAGAGCGCGAAGGGGAGGGATTTCACGGTGGCGGAGGTGCTGAGGGAAGATAGGGGGCCGCATAGGAGGGGGGCGGTGACTCCGAATGGGTACGAGGATATCACGCCTGTGACGAAAGGGGAGTGGTGTTTCTTGATGGTAGGAGAGGGGTGGAAGGAGGCGAAGACTGCGCCTGTAGTGACCTGCTGATTTTGTTTACTTCGGAGTTTGGTGTTTTATTTAAGCGAGGGTACTTCTGGGACGGTTCTGAAAGCAAGAGCTGCGATCGGACTGGGTGTTTAGACCTTGGGTTCGGGATCTGTCGTATTTGAAAGAAACCTCACATTTCCGAGAACAAAAACGCAGCCAAAGAGAAATGAGCTTCGTGATGCAAGTGATGATGCCTTAAGCTAATATTCCTGATCTTATGTTTTATGAACCGAGCTTTTAGATTACGCATGCTGGTTATCCTCGGAAGCTCACATGCAATGACACTTCTCTCGCCATCCCCTTCTCATATTTCCATCATCAAAACCCGGCTATATTAATAAAACATAATCAGGAACTAATGCCAATGTTACAAAAAGAGACCAATCGACCTCAGATTTGGTTGCAGAATATCCGATGCTTGATGCTGACAAGTAAGTCTTCAAGCACGACACAGATTGAAAGAGAAACACATTAAGGGGTATCATTGCAATTTAATCTCCCCCTCACTGAGAACTACCATCCGTAGCGACTGCTCGCCTCAGCTCTATTACTCTTCCCTGCCGCAAAGCTCTCCTCCAGAGCCTCCTTCTGGCTCTGTGCAGCATTGACAAGCTGCTTCAAGCTATGCTTACCAGGCGCAATCGCCCTAACAGGGTTATGCGTAACTTGTTCGCCAGCAGCCCTTAGCTCTTCATTATGCAAATATTCCTGGTCAGTATTGAAATTAATGACTTTGGTAGCTGACTGTGCCCCTCGTCCTCCTTTCTGCCTTCCGAATAATTGTCTGCGCTCGGCGGCTGACAGATTCAGATCGCCAGCTATATCGTCAAGAGATTGGGAGACTGGTGGCGTGGGGACCGCAGGGGGTGCAAATTTTTGGGAGGAATTGGGCGTGTAGTCTTCGTAAGATGGCTCAAGGCTGAAGGAGTCGTGCTCATCGTCACCTGCTTCTTCCACCTCGAGCATCATAGGTTTGTATTCTCCTCTGAAAGCCGGCGTAGACACTTCAACTTCTGGCCCTGACATCGAGAATAATGATATTTTCTGTCTTTTAGCAGGCTGCTCGTCCTTCGATTGTGGAGTGACTGGTGGCGCGGGCGCGGGGGACTGAGAAATTGTCGTGGGTAACAGCTTCTTCTTCTTCGTAGGCTTCCTCGAGACTGATAACGGCCTAAACATCAATGGCTTGCCCACCAATTTGACCTCATCTGAAGGCTTCTGCTCTCCATCCTGTATTGTTTTGGGCTGCGGAAGACTCATCCCGGAACCACCACTTGTAGACTCTTCAGCATGCTCCTCCACATATTCCCTCTCTGGTTCTGGTTCTGGTTCTGTTTCTGACTCTCTACTAAATCCCGGTGCAGCTCCGGTCTTCAAACGGACACCGGAACCAAGCCCTTTCTTCGCCACATTGCCTTCACCCAGTGTTGCGGTCGTCTGCCCTGCTCGTTTGGGTGCAGGGAGGAACGAGTTGAACCCGCTAAATACGCCACTTCCAGTTGTTGCGCGTTTGAGGGGAGGCTCGTCGGTCTTCTTGTCGTCTCTAAGCGCGGCTTGTGGCAACGAGACGCGGATTTTACCTGGATTCGAGCGGTCCACCACTTTTTGAAATGCCGGCTTAGATGAGGTTGAAGCGGTCTTTGATACGGGAGTCTCTTCGACATCCGAAGTTTCGGAGTCTGAATAGTCGACGAGGCCCATGGCGTATCTGGGCTGACTGCTGCTTACTTGGTTGGGGTTGTACTGTTGTCGTCGGCTTTGGGGTTACAAAAATCTAATGTTGCCGACAGAACAAGGCTGAATGCCAAGCCAGCTTCGCTAGTAGAGAAGCTTAGTACCCCAGCTGCATCATAAGGCTGATAGATCAATCCACCAAGTTAAATAGACCTGCCCGGATCCATTCAAGTTGATTCTGTTCCTTATCAATTCTCTACTATCAGTTACAACTCGCCATACGCAATGTCCGTCTTGCAAGTTGAAGAGTGAGTTACATGCGAACTGCCCTGGGAATCTCTGACAATGATATAGTCTGGTCTCTTACCAATTGAGAACGAACTATCTAGATACCATATCTGATGGCGTCGGTGAACGTCTGATCACTATCAATGATGCCTTCCTGAACACTGCTGGATTCAGAGCTGCTGGCTGGCGGCTGAATCCTACGAACATTAAACGGACCCATTCCCCACCGATACCTACCGCGATAGCATCAGAATATTTTCAAGCGCCGCCCAGGACTACGCTGACCGATACGGGCCTGGAAGATGATATCGATGAGGGAGGCCTGGTAACTGGAGGTGGAGTGGATACTGTTGGGCCTGGGATAGCTACGAAGAGACGCCGCAGACGAGAACAGATGGAAGAGGAAGATAGCAGTGACTTGAGTGACGATAGTGATGATGATGGAGATCAACGAGCTGCGCAACAGATCAAATTCTCGAAGATGCCCATCCGGAACCGTTCTGGCTCTTCTCCTATTCGTGGTTCCTACCTACGGCAGTCGTCAACGGTCACATCCCCGACCCGGGGTCCCGCAGGACAAGTAAGGAGGGGATCTCAATCGGCACTGGAAGCTGTTAAGGAACGAGCCAGGAGAGATACTGTGACCAGCAGTGAGATGTCATCTGAAAACGAGTTTGATGCCTCGGCATTTCAAAGGCAGAGAGATGCCACCAGGAACGCCACCAAGGCCAGCAGGGCTTTGCTGCGACATACTTCGGATCCGAACGTAGGCATGAAGAAACAGGAACGCGATCTACTTGAGGAAGAGGAGGAAGATTCTGATGGTTCAGGATCGGATATGGACTCAGACTTTGCAGGCAGCATCGACTCTGCGTCTCTCCTAGCTGGTGTAAACAGTCCTGTGAATGCTTCGCCGACGACTCATGTTATTGGTACCCTGCCCAGAGGTCTACAAAGAGTTCCAACGAAAAAATCGAAACCTGCGCCTCCGGTGCTCCAAGCGCTCCCACCCCCAAGACCAATCAGTATAATTCAACCAAGGAGTCTTCTCTCTGCTGCTATCAAAGCAAAGAGGACCAAGGCTTCTGCGCCATTTGAATCTTTTGCATCACTCTCAGGACAGGGAGAGCCAAATCCATTGTATCTACGTATCTGGGCGCCGTTTTCAACTTCTACTTCGAAGCCATTTGAGGTTATTATTCGAAGGAGTGTCCACGAAAACGAAGTGAATGACCGACCTGTTGCTGTTGCGGATCTCATTGGACTAAGCCTTTGGAGGTATACAGAAGAGAAGTTGGAGCCACCTATTCCGGTTGAAAAGCTAAATGTTAATCATTGGACTCTACGCATGGTAGAAGATGAGGAAGTTGATTACGATTTCCCAGCATTGGACCGAGGGAAGCCTATTGTTGCATTTACTACGGCCAATAACCGAGCTGCAAGATCACGATCTAATTCCAAGCCATACGATGAGTTTGCTCTGGTAGCCGCCACTGATGAGCAGTTCCAAGAGAACCAGACCATCACTCCCCAATTCAAGCAGGAAGCTGTTGCGTCATCGGGCGACGATGACTTTGTGCCCACCAAAACTTCTTCGTTACCATCAATGCCTTTCGCAGGAACTCAACCACGGCAGAATCCATTGCTGACTACAATGTCTGCTCTGCGACATAATGCCACTCTTGCAGATTCGCCTAGCATCGGCACTGTCACTACACCAGCCACGAGGAACAGCATCAAGAAATTGCTTCGAGTTCACATCCACTCAGCAGATGCTGCTCCCGGGCAGATGATAACGCTGGATGTGACAACCGACACGTATTTGGCTGATGTCCTTGATATCATCTGCAAAAAGCGACAGCTCGACAAGGCTAATCACGTGCTCAAACTGACAGGTTCTGGCACTGTAGTCCTGCTGGACCGTACAGTGGATTCTATTGGGAACCGCACAGATCTTGACCTGTATCGTCGTCGATTCGCAACTGATGGGCCTCTGACGATGTCTGGATCTCCCAGCAGCAGCTCGCCAAAAATACCAATGCTATCAGAACGTCCCAGCTTCCAGAGAGTCCGAAAGGGGTCATTGCTAAACACACATCCTCTTGCCCAAGAAGCTATCAAGCAGGATGAAATGGGCAGTGCCAATTACCGAAAATACATCGTCTGGCGCAAGCAGCCTATGCGATTCGTGGGCCTGAACGAGAGAATACTAGCAATCGATGGCGAATACCTGCATATTATGCCAACCTCAACAGGCAAGACGATGTTTGAAGGCCAAGGCAAGACAACAACGGTTCATTTCAGCAAAGTTGTCGGATGCAAAGTTACGAGGAGGCATCCGACTAATTTCAAGGTACGACGCCTAAATGCATTTTTCTGAAGGGTGAGAATGCTAATCAGTTGTCTAAGATCGTGATATACAAAACTACTGAGACGAAGCGATATGATTTCGAAGCCAAGAGTGCCGATGAAGCAGCAGAGATCGTCTTTGAGATCAAGAAAGGAATCTCGCCATATCACAATATATGAAGCATTTGCATTTGCATTTGACTGCGCTCAGCCCAGCTGACCGAAATCATGGCCTGGTGCATGACCCCAGCCTCCCGTTGGGCGTGTCAACGGATCGCTTTTCTTATGCGCGACCCATTTGTTTGCCTCGCACTTCGACATGGCCAGAAAAGTGCCGGTACCTGCAGGAAACGCCGTATTCCGATTCCGTGATTCCAGAGTCCGCATCGATTCTCATGATGCTAGCAACTGCGAAGCTTTGAAGCCTTCGATAACTCTGAGCTTTACAGACAAACAAGACTCGCAACTCTGGGCCATGGTACCGGCCTGGTCTCTCGCCTTGGACTCCCGCCTTGGACTCCCGCCTTCCCGTCCGTGTCATCCGTTTGACCAGATTTTAGCGAGGTGGCAAAGGTAGTAGGTACCGATGACGCAGCGCTTGATGGATCAGGGATTTTAGGGTCGTGGTGGTGGCGCTGAAGCACGCTAGACTCAGCACAGCATAGCGAGAGAAGATCCATGCGCTCGCTCGGCCATCAGCTCTGACTGGAGTTTGTTTACGCGGCTCACCAGCTCGGGCTCACGTGATAGGTGGAGGGGACGACCAGAAGGCAATGGGTGATGACGATGGCAATGGTGATGAACATTGGCTCTTCCAAATGTCTCTAGAGCTCTTTATTTCGTTGGATACCGAGCGGGCCCCTGTTCCATTCCTCCGCCATGCACTCCCGTCGTACGTACCCATCAAACAAAGGAGGCTGGCTGACCTGAGCGTCCAAACTGATTAGCTAAGGTTCCGTAAGCTTCTCACGCAGCTTATCTATACTTAGCATATTCTGGGCTGAAAACGTTGGTTGCTGTCTCGCTGAATCCGTGGCCTGCATGTCGCTTCAACCTGATACAAGCAATGCCCAGTGGCGTGAGGCGGTTTGAAGGCTCGGGTAGCACCATCTTCTCGGATCTGTGACTTCAAGCCTTCTCATTTGTCAAGCCAGCATGCAATTGGGGAACCCCTATTGAATCGACCATTCACGGACCATTTCGCTGTGACGTACAGATCATAACTCCGAATTTGCAGGCTGCGGATGCATGGAGACGCGTGTTTTGTTCACCGGGCTAGTGGTTCCAAGCTGGTATATATATTACCTGGAGCTCCCGACTACTTCTTTACTCTACCACCCAAGACCCATAGTCCAAACAATCTGTACAACTTTCACTTCCAATTCTACTTCCATCCTTTTCCACATATCACACGATACATACCACTTTACAACTTTTAAAAATGCAATTCAAGAACACCATCATCCTGGCCCTTGCCGCCACCGTTTCCGTAAGTTCAATGCCCTTTTGATAATTTCCAAACTTACTAACATCTTTCAGGGGCAAGCCATTCTCTCTACCAGCACCTCTGAAGGTGCAGTCTCAACCGCCACTTTCTCATCCAGCAGTGCCGTCTCCACTGCATCCGGAATAAGCTCCTCTCTTTCATCGGAAGCTTCATCCGTCGGATCCTCCCTGTCCTCTGAGTTTTCTTCGCGTACAGCCTCTATCACCGGCACCTCTGCATCCTCCGCCCTCGCGTCGATCTCTTCGTCCCTCAGCTCCCGCCAGTCTTCCATCGCATCAAGCGTCAGCTCTAAGCTATCGAGCGCGCAGTCTAGCGCGTCTTCTGCTGCGGGCCAGGGCACGAGCTCGAGCTCCGCTGGTGCCGCGTACCAAACCGCTGCTGTTGGATTGGGTGCGCTCTTCGGTGGCGCTGCGCTGTTCGCTGCCAATCTCTAAGGGGTGTGATGGACATGTACGCTATGAAGGTTCGGTGGGGAGGGTAATGGTATATGCCGATGTCATTTGGAGTCATATTTTTAAAACATAGATTGGAATTGTAATAAATGCTACAAGCATAGCTGCATGTAAGGGCATTTCATCAATGGAATATTGTTCATGGTGGTTTTGTTTTCATTCAATGCCACTCTCCTGGGTGAGGTTTTTCGCTCGGGTGTCCCTTTCCAGGTAGGCGCTTCTTACGCTTCGATGATAGTTGGTACGAGTCTCATTCTTCGGTAAATCTTGAAGCTGGCTTCATCTCTTCTGCTAGTTTATTGAATTGGACGTAAGGTTTGCGCTTGGTTATGTATTCGTACGAAGTATCAGCAATCGATTTCCCAGGCACATTCTCGAGATCCACGTCCTCCGATACACGTCCCTCGGTCCGTCCAATGAGTACCCAACAGTCCTTTTATCTTGCGAGATTTGGAGACATGTTGCGAAGTTAAGCGACCAGCACATAGTATATCAAAATATGCGAAAAAAAATATATATATATATATTTATGAAGTAATCGTCGGTTAATCGTCGGTTACCTTGAATTTAATTTGTAAAAAATCCCGACCTGGCGCAGCCAGGTCGGCACCACCAAGGCGGGACAGTAACGGTATACCACTTAATAAACAACAACTGTTAATATAAAGAAGGAAAAAAAAAAATCTCTATATGCTTAGAAAACTTTGCTTTACATACGTGAATTAGAATTATAAATTTGCATTCATTTATGGTGATCTAATACATTAAAATGTAATGAAAAAATGGGTAAAAACTGTCCTAAATAATTCAAATTCACTTGTTTATTGCAAATATCTTAATAACCATAACCTTAATTAAAAAAAAAACGTTATATAGATCGAAAATAAATGATTTAATATATGATAATACTAAAGGTATCAATTATTAATTCAAAGTTGATAGTGATGCACGTATTTTTGTAATGGGTTTAAGTAAAAGTCCGACTTTCGTGTTCTTCGCGTATTCTGGTATTTACATAGCAATCCTGATATATACCTACCTAGGTACGCAATCAATAATCATCGTAACTTATTGTACTTTCCCTCGCCATTTAACCCTTAATATTATCGTCAAGCTCAGATTCGCTATCATATGAAGCTGAATCATCGTCGCTACTTTCTATATCGTCTTTAGAATCGATTATAATAGCGGTTTGAGCTTTAGCGCTAAGCTTTCGAGTTTGAGAAGGTTTCGGATACGCTAAGACTCTTAACGCACGGACCAGTAAGGTCGAAAAGTACAAGAAAAGTATACCAAAAGTACTATTTTTACTACTTTAACTCAGCATAATAAAGGAATAAGAACTTGTAATTAAAATTTGATTAATTGATTAATATCAAACTCAACACGGTGCATCTTTTCATACAGAAATAATTACTATATAACAGTTGATTGATTTTCTATTCATTAAAAAGGAGCAAATTTTACTGTCCCACTATAGCAAGTCGGTCAACTCTTACGAATTGAGATCAAGGAAACCGACGATTAGGCATATATAATCATAAAGTATATCAAGATCACAAAGGCTAGGTAGGGAGTATAGTTCGAGGTTCCCGACCGTTTATCCCTTAAGCCTGTGTATTCCGTACGTATAATAGCGGCTTGCTAACTTATAGGCCCTGAATGAAGGAAGCCGAAAAAAAATATATATATAAAAAAAGAATTAGTTTGGATTCGCTCAGAATATTTCCGAGCTCAGCTGACAACAACACGCTCCTCTCTATTTAGGAAAAAGTCCCTTCAATCTGCTCCGTATTTCATATCATAGTATACTAACAGCAACGGCAGCCCGATGATCGTTATCGTTGCCAACCAACGTGCTAGGCCTTCCGTCCTCGATAGAAGAGGGGGATCCCGTCCTGCCCGTTTCCGCCCTCCCTCGGAAGGAATAGATTGGATTTTAATGGTCGGCATACTCGAATTTTGATCCCGACCCAGCCTACCTTTGATTTTTCATCCGGGTCCATTTCGAGTAAGGATGACGTGTCGGATTTCGTCGTGTCGTGTCGGACTCGGACGTGAGACGGAAAGTTTGACCGGTGATGATTCTCTTGGTTGGTTGGTTGTTTGTTTGCTTGTTTGTTTGTTTGTTTGATTGTTTGATCACGGTTGCCTTCTAACTCTTCCTATTTGAGAGAGGGGAGGAGGAAGGGCCCGGTGATTTACCCTCCCCTCCCGCCTCCCCAACTTTACAAATAAGTAAGGACCATCGCGAGATATACCGTGGGGAGGGAGGGTGGGGGGGGGGTATTCTATTTTATATTAGGGAATCAAGATTTTAGCTTATAAGCATGGCTAGTACCTGAGTGCACTATCAGTACGAAGTACATAGCTCTGAAGTGCTTCGTCGCTTTCCTTTAATTTCATTTCCACGCTTCGTGCCTTCAGGTTGTTTAAAGTAACTACATCCTCATTCAACATTATTATAAGGTTGAAAGAACCAGCTTCCGTAGGTACTAGCAGATGGCCGGTCCTTCAAAGAGACGCAGCAGCCGCACATATTGTTTGACGGGTGATTGTGACGGAGAAGTGTGCTGCTTGAGCAGCTACGTAGCCGCTGGGTAAAAGGAAGGGAAGAGAAGAAGGTATCTTGAGGACAAGTCTCCGGAAAATCTTAGGGATCAGTTAGTCCTCCAAAGAAGGATAGCTGAAATGAGTTGTCAGCTATCTCATTACTTACTGGGAGAAGGAGGAAGGAGTAATTTTTAGGGCAATGTGTATTCCGGCAGGCACCGGATCACTCACTAGACGTGAAGCGGTTAGGTTTTGTTGATCCAACGACGGCATCCATAGATAATAAGATGATGGCAATTATCGCTTGCTTATATTCCGGCGCTATGGCGGCTTTCTTGTTTCCTTCCCTTCATTGAGGATAGGGAGGTTACCCCTCCTGTGCTGGGAAAGGGGGCTTAAAAGCCATCACATCCAGCAGGAAGTCAAAAGAGGGAAAGAAAAACATATGAGAAGAGAAGAAACAAGAAATAGAAGAGGAATAGACAAATAAGTCGAAACTCCAGTACAAATTCTTTCATAAAGGCCAACGCCATCCATCTAGCTAGCTGGCTAGGCCCACCCACTCCAAATTCAATTTCAATTCCATCCCAACCGACGCCACCCATCTCATCCCATGCCATGCCATCCCATCCCATCCCATCCCATCCCATCCCATCCCATCCCATCCCATCCCATCCCATCCGTCTATCGTACAATGCAAAGCGTAATCAAGCGCAGAAAAAAGCAAGAGGGCGCTCATCCCCCCGCTACCGACACCCACAAGCCGATGTGTCAAAATCACGTATTCCCACCCCAACTCTCAGATCAAGATGAAGAATTATGTAAGCTCGTAAGAGAAGAAAAGAGGAATCAAAACAGAAGCCCAAAAAACCGCTCCCGTTTGTACGCCTCCTGTTTGATATTTTCTGGGGGTAATATGATTCCCCACAGTTCCACCCATCCTGTTCGCATTGAGTGATTGATCAGTTTTCGCTCGCTGTCGTACGCCAAAACCAAGAAAAGCATAAGTATTCGTGAAGTCGTAGCTAGCGTGCCCAGATCAGGGAAGATCAAAGGTGCATATCTTCGTCGTGGGGTCCGATCCGGTCCACAGCCTCGGAGTCGTAGTCCCCATCGGAGTTATCCCATTCTAAGTATATCAGCGATGTTCATAAGGAAGCAGGGATATAGGAACTTACCTGAGGCCTCCTCATCAGCTTCCTCTACCGTGCAGTTCCTCAAAGGCAGGATAACAGCTACAACTCGTTAGCGGAATAGAAAGACCAGTAGAGCCATATGAACTTACCGGTTGACAACTCATAGAATGTGCGAGTAATGTGGTCTTTGTTCTCAAAGTCGAAGAAGTGGGAGCAAGCCTTAATCACCTCCTTAATATTGGCGACCACTGCCCGAACAGCCTGTTGGCGTTGTCGCAAGTAAACCTCATCGCAGTACTTCAGGCATGCAATCCCCAACTTCTGCGCAGCCTCAATGAAGATCTGACCCTTATCGCAATCCTCATCCTCCGTACCAAAGTTGACGTCGGGTCCGTGACGAAGCAGCGCTTGATGGATGAACTCCTCCGTATCTGCTCTTACGTTACTGTTGAAATCCGTGAGCAAGTACGGGCCCCAAATGTTCATCTGGTCGAAGAAGAACCTCAAGAAGTCGTCAGTCGTCATGTCTTGGTCGCCGACTGCTCCATCAAACACGTCTTTGAAGAACTGGAGAGCTGCATCATTGTCACCATCGAGCTCGGCAGCAACTTTCGTGACCCTCGATAGCATGCTGACTACCGCCTTGGGGTTCTTTGATCGTTCGGCATAAACGGCAGCAGCTCGAATGAATGGTGCGCAAAATGGCGAAGTTGTGCCCTTTCTGAGCCCTGACAAAATGGTTTGCAGGATTTCGTTGTCGAGAGAGTCGGGCCATGCCAGGAGACGGATGGTGATCTCCTTGACAGTCTCCTCGTTCTGACGAAGCAACAGAAGCTTCTCCAGCAGAATGTGGGCATGGTTGCGAATCCAGTGAGACGTCAGGAAGCTTTGCTCGCCTCTCGTAAATGGCACCGGCTTATCCGGGTTGGACAGGTCGAGGCGCGTATCCTCGTCCTCCACAGGTTCCAGAGTCACGTCACACACAAGAAAGAGCCTGTACAGGAGGTTGATGATATCCTCGTAAGATACCGGTCTGCTGGCAACGCGCTTCGCCATAATGCTGAGCATTCTTTGATATTGTTGCGTCGTCGGAAGCAGGGGATCTGCACAGACCACCTCGAGTGTCTTTCTGAGAAAACCGTGATCAAGCAGTAGAGTAGCCTCACGCTTTCCCATCTGGGCAATACTTGCCAGGAGACCGAAATATTCCGGCCATGCACGAATGTTACTATGAAAGACGTCCCACAGCCTGGTAAGAGCTTCTACGATGTCTTGGATCAGCTTTGAGGTGTGCAGATCATGCCCATCCGTACTACCGTCATCATCACCAAATCCGTACGCATAGGGTGCTTCATTTTTGACCTTTTCAAGGGCGTTGATGATCGATAGCGCAATCTCATGGCGGATGAGACCATCTGGGTTTCGCAGCAGCAGTTGCTTCATTGACTCTGGATGTTCGACGTACCAAACCAGGTACCGCCGACTGCATTCTACACAGCCATCACACATTTGCCTAATAGTAAGCATGAATCTCACGAAGTCCGGAGTTTCCTTTGTGCGGGCGAAAACCTGATCCAAGTGACGCAGTACCACGTCCAGAACTTTGTTTTCCAAGTCGTGCCATGTGGAGCAGGTGCCACCGTTGATGACCTTCATGTTGGAGAAGACCTTCATCACGAACTCCGCGTGGGATGGATCGTACAGACAGTACTTGCGCATGATAATCTCGTTCTCATGTGCAATGTGGTTGGAAATAAGGCGAGGTGCGGCCAGCCGAATCGGGCTACTGGGACGTTGGTGCATCATCGTCTGCTTCTGCGCAGCAAGGACCGATGATCGTTGGTAGAACAGCATGTACGCGCTGTATGACTTTTCGAAGTGGTTGTTGTTACTATCAGGTTGGCACGAATAGTCTAGACCACCGAAACACGCAGCCTCCATCCGATTTGGATCCCAAGGGCTCACAGATTCGTCGTTAAACTCTACCCAGTTCTCCTGATCGTTTGCGGACGGCCTCTCTCGAATAAACGAGTAGTAGTGGCCCGATTCCGCTGTCCCTGAGTGTACCAAAATTCCAACCAGCTCAAAAACATCCTCGGCGAGTTCTTCCGAGCTGTTCATGAGATATTCTACCTTGTAGGGTGTCATATCGATAGTCTTAGGAAAAGAGAAATGATCATTGATCTTGCTCCGAAGCTGAGTGCGAAGATTATAATCAAATCTCTTCAAGTGAAAGATCAGACTGTCGGGAATATCTTTGAGGCAAGCTCTCTTGACCGCGTTCACATGAAGGTCGCACTGTGAACACTTGTATTTGTTATCTCCTTCCATGACCTCACCCTCGACGTACGCCTCAAGACTTTCCTTTAGGTTGCCCTTGCCCTTGATGTCGCACTGTATCGCGGAAAAGGACTCCATGCGCTCTGAGATGTGTTCACATTCTTTAGACTTGACTTGCTGAACCAGCTGGCCACCGTAGAAACTCTTGAATTCCTGCTTGGCGTCGGATGCAAGAATCTGGCTTTCCCAACGATCGAAGAGCAGGTTGTAGAATTCGTCAACGTCCATTTGAACATGGATATCAATTGGGGTTTCATCATAGGTGCGAATGGATTGTGCAAGGTTGGCGGGATCGACGAATCTTTTGTAACTGTTTTGCATATAGCTAAACAGAATCTGCGTCTCGGAAAGAAGCTTCTGCGAGGCGCCAGCGTCGGCAACGTGAGATTGAAGCATGAATTCCCGGAATGGGACATTCATAAACAGCTGAGTGAACAGAGAATTGAGGTAGCAAGTGTTGGAGAGGTTTCTCAACCCGACATAGCCGGTCTGCGATCTGATTGACCGACCTCTCTCAAAGGCAGGTACCAGATCGTACATGTAGGGAGCTAAGCATGTATGAGCCTTGTTCGACAGAAAGATATAGTCAAACTTACGATCTGTTTGGGCAGAATAAGGGGTGATGTGTCTAAGATCATCCAAGAGAACGTCGTACTGTAATCTGTCATCCTTGACAAGAAAATATACTGTATCAGCCAAAGTACGTCTGGTCGTGGGGTTGAGTAGAGGAATTCTGGCATCAACGACTCCATCAGGCTGCTCGACTGATAAGTCTGGGAACAGGTGCTGGCGAAACAGCTGGATTCCAAGGGCGCTGTAGGTGTTAGCAATTTTCTGGAATGGATGCATTTTATCTCTCACCTGCATAGGAGAGTTCTCTGAGAAGCTTTGGTGAAAGAAGTGGCATAGAAGACCATAGTAGTGAGTCCCTGTGCTACTGGATCGACACTCTCTGGATGCCCAATGCGCTGAATTATCGTCAGCACTAGGGAACTCCTTCTCGGGAGAATACGTACCTCAACACATGGGTGAGATAGCAGTAAATTGCCCCACTGTTTGACCAAATCTTCAAGCTTTAGATCACGGATTGCGATATCTGCAAATCGCTTAAACAAGGTAAGGCTCAAAGTGAATGTCTCTTCACACTGAAGCGGCCTGAGGCAAGCTTTTGGAATCAGCTGAGCCACCATTGGCCAAAATGCTATAACGAACTGGGTCGTAGAAAGTTGGGCAAGGCTGAACCAATCAGCCACAGGTATATAAGGAGTTTGAGACAAGAGGGCCTACCTTGGTATGAAGGTGCATTTATTCACAATTTGCTTCATAGCATTCTTTCGAATGACTGGATGGGGGTCGTCCAGAATCACGTCCTGCAGCAGTGTATTCTCGTGAAGATGCGAGAGGAAAAGGCTCCAAAAGGTGGTACTATGAATCGATGCCTCTAGTAGAGTTTCGAAAGAGCGGACAGTCAATTGATTTGAAGTCAGCGACACAAGGCCATTCTTGGAAATATACAAGAGCTCTAAAAGGCGATCTAGGAGAGATTTGTTGAGATGCGGAGTGACTGATGTCGGTAGTACGGGTTCTATGATCATTTAGCAGCTTCAATTGATCGGCATAGGAGTGGATCACCTCTGAGAAATTGTAATAGACAGTCTAGCATATGCAAAGCAAGGACATCCCTCAGCCCATCGGTACCACACTGGTTGAGAACGTTGGGGTCGGCTACTGCCGCAACAAGTAAAGCGATCGCCCTCGAAAGTGCGGCTTCGTTGACAAGCCCCTGCAACAGTCAGTAATCTGCCTATCATTCAAGAGCGTGGGGTTTACCATCTGAGATTTACTGGTGATGTACTGCTTCAAGGAGTGTACTGCATATAAAGACTTGAATGGCTGCCCAACAGGGAAGATCTCTGGATGAGGCATGTCTGATGCGAAATCGCGAAGGAGTCGCTCATAGACATCAAACTTTATCAAGAAATAGTATATCTGCCTCAAATATCAGCACTGTCACGATGGTTACCGGTGTAACATACCTCCTGTGCCACTTTCTCGTTCATACTGAGGTAGCTCCACAGATCATCGAAATGCTTCGTAATTTCGAGCTCCAGTGTGGTCTTATTGCCGTTGGGCGGATCCGGCACCCCTTCGGCATCATCACGCTTACGGACCAGAAGAAGACCAGTGAAATTGAGGTCCTCTAACTTTCTGCAAACATCAATCTCCTCGGGATCCACCGCCTTCCCTCCGTGATAGACTTGATAGTTCCTGAAGCCTGTGGCCTTCTCGAGACCGGCAAACAAAGTGGCAGCCGTGTTCTGCTTGCCAAGTGTGATGCTTGTTATATCCATAGCTTTGGGGCCATCAAATACCTGGTATTTCACCGTCAAAGGTTCGCCTTCCACTGCAGTTGGGGCCGTTGTGATAGACAGCCTCGACTTCGGAGGTGCAAACTGTGGCTTAGTCTGGTAGGCTCTTAGGAACTCGCGCAAGACTGCCAGAGACCGGGCAAAAATCAACTCCTGCTCTTGCAATTCATCATCCGAAGCAACGACGGCCATCCTCTCGTCAGATCCAGTGGACACATCGGTGCCAAAGGCCTGCAGCTTGGAGGCAGCTCCCTTCAGCTGCTTCAAGCAACGGTCAACCAAGCCCAGATGGATCGCTCTTGCCATTGTCCGAGGGATCTTGCAAATCAGAGGGCTGCTAACATAGGTATCCACAAGAATTTTGATTGCTGCAGCATCGATAGTGGCAGGTGGTGCAGTCAATATCATACGCCATAGCTGTTCGAGAGCTGGCGAGTCAAAGGCCCTCTTTTCTGCAACGAAGTCTTCTCGAACCTCGTCGAACCACAAGGAGATTGCTACCCCTACAAGATCCAGCGATCCGGGAGTAAAGCAATGAGGAGGAAGAGTTGGCATGAATTCAGTAAAGCATAAAGCGATGAAGAAATTCTTGCTACCTTGGGACTTGGCCACGGTGTTGAGGAGCTGCCACGAGATGCTTCGCTCGTTGGATACGATCGATTTGCTGCCAACAAGAACGTCCCACAAGCGGGAGCCGAGATCCGCAGAAATGGTACCCGGTTCATTTTGAATGATAAGTTGGATGATCTCGCGTCGGGCTACACTCGCTGCGCTGCCACCAGACAGCAAATTCGCCGATTGGCGTTCGCTTTCGATTGCCAACTCCAGATCCTCGACCAGGAGCTTGGTCAGACCATGCTCAACGGTCATCTTTTTCAGGTCCGAAGGATGGTCGTTCAGCAAGGCACCGACAACGACTATGCTTCCAGGGGCTGTCTGGCTCTTCGACGCAATGTCGGTGATGCAACTGAGGTATATGTTATCGCGTGCTTCGTCAGGTGGACCGCGATTCAGAAGCTCGCGCAAGGCCTTGGACGCAAAACTCAGGATATTCGGGAAGCCGGCTGCACCAGCAGCAGTGAGCATGGATGATTCGCGAATAAGACGTACGCAAAGTTCATAAGGCTGTGCGTCCAGTTGAAGTAAGCGACCTTGGTTTGCTTTGTCCGTCAAGCACTTGAACAAAAGTTGGCAGTAATCTCGCATGACGTTGGAGAAGGATTCAACCGGTATATCGTCAAGCTTCTCGCAGAGGTAGAGTAGAGAGGGATAATCGAGCAAGGACAGAATCTTTCGTAATACAGTAACGATAGCCTCCACAACTCGAGGATCCTGGCTCTCCGTAACAGTTTGCCAAATCTTGTCAGTTAGCTCTGGGGTGTATGTTTTTGTAACTATCAGAAAGCCAAGGATGTTGTTACTGTCGCCGATGAGCTCAGGGTGAGATCCGACGCCGACAAGATAGTCAAGGAGTTGACTGTCTAGAATCAAGTTCGCGAAGAACAGTAGAACGGGAGATGCCGGAGGAAAGTTGTTGGCGGGTTTGTACTCGCTATGCAGTTTCAAAAGCTCATCTTGCATGCTCGAAACGCCCGTCACACGTAGTTGCATCTGAGATGAAGTGATGAGCTTGTGCAATATCTTGAACTTCCATTCGAGAGCTAGCACTTTTGGGAAGTCCTTCCGAGCGACTGCCGGATGTTCTCGTCGGCTCTGCTCCAGAAGCTCTCGCACCGGGCCGACCTCGTAATGGAGAGCGTATTTGAAAAGGCTCGAGAGGCAAGTCATATGAGACAGGGCACTATTGACGGAAAAGCAGGTGATATGCTTCTCGATGATGGGCAGTAAGCCACCAGACATGACTTTGAAGAACTCGTAACCCTCGGTCACCAGTTGTTCGTGGCCCTCTGCATGTCGTGCGTCTGCATCCCGTAGCATAGGAACGATATCCACGACCGCCTTGCAAACAATCTGTGAAGGGGCCGCGAGTGTGTCAATCAACTTGGGATTGCTTGTGATCAACTTCAATTGGCCTTCGACGAGCTCGGTGAGGTTAGGAATCGTGCCACCCTGAACATAGAATGCTTCTGTCATCGCTGCAACGTCGTCGTCCCAAGCCCAACGGTAGTGTCTCTTGATATTGTGGCCAATGTGAGCAGTATTTGCATCCGGCGACAGCAGATGTGCGTAGGCTATCAGGAACTCAGCACTTCCCATGTCAGGTTCGTTTGGATTGCCAGCTTTGTCGTAGTAGGAGAGCTGGTGCACATCCATCTCAACGAATCTACCAGCAAGGCGAGCAAATGAAACGAATAGCTCTGACAGCGCTTGCCGGCCGGGCTGACTATCCTGCAAAAATTGGCCAAAGAAACGGCTACGCAAGTTAGTTGACTATTCGGACGCGTTGAAATGTGTGCTTACGTGCGGCCGCTCAATGCCCATATAAAGCTCGGAAAGGTTCTCCAGAATTCGCGGTTCTTCTCGAAGGTCGCATAGAATGATCCAATATCGCCCTCATGGGCATAGAGATATGCATCGATCCAAGTGCCAAGCTTGGAAAAGCAGCCCGGTTCATCAACGTCCTCTGCAGCAGATCAGTACATGGCTCGCAATCGGTAGGAAGGTAGGTGACCATACGAAACTTGAAAAAGTTCGATATGCGATCCAATGCGAGGAGTGCTGTGCCGCTGTCGCTCGTGTAAGGAAATGTCGACATAGGGTCCAGGTAGGCGTCCTCGTCTTCGTCCATAGGCACTAGCTCGATACGGGGGCTTCCTCCTGCAGACGGAGAGGAAGAAGGGGTTTCGATTGCCGGCACCGTAGATAGGCCATCACTCTCCGACTCGACGCTGACCCTAGCTATGTCCTGTCCTCCTCCGTTTGGCATTCTCGAGGGGCTCGTGGGCGAGGGCGAGGGCGGCGAGGAAGGGATTGGCTCTAGATTTCGATTTGTTCTGAGGTTTATGGTAACCCGGCTCGAATTTGGCTCTGCAGGAAGCTCGGTCGATATGCGAGCGGGCGTAGAAGGGAGGGATGGATCGGGATCAGCCTCGTTGCTCCCGTCTCGCGACGACATGGGTTCTGGTAGAGGATGGTAATGGGGATGGGAATCGTCTCCGCGAGCTGTGTCGGCCGATCTGCTTCTGGAGCGTCCGCGCGAGACTCGCTGGCGCTTGCGCGAGGATTGTTCTTCGTCAGTGTCGTCGAAGGGGTTTGGGCGACCTGGACCAGAGCAAGGCTCTGAAGAAGTCGCACGTATTGTTGGAGATTCTTCCATTTGGCTGTGGCAGGTGCGGTGGGCGACGCGACTTGAGATGGTTTGGAGGGGGGGGGCGTCGGCGGGCTGGGGTAAAGGGTGGAAGAGCCGCGGGGTGCTCCGCAAGCTGCTGAAGAGCGAGCTCAAAAGCTTGAGAAGAAAAAGTGCATACGGGAGACGGGAGGAGGGAGGAGGGACTCGATCGGATGGTGGATGGAAGGTAAGGTTAAGGGCTTTCGTCGGTATCTAGACAAATAATACCTGACCTGGCCAGGCCTCACCTCGCCTGATCCGTAGGAAGCTAATATTGGTATGTACTGGCTGGATGATACCAATGAGGTTGTTGCTTCTTGCTCTTGGTTCGGGGTTTAGGCGAGAACTGGAGCTCAAGAAAGGTAGGGGTGGGGGTGTGATGTGAGGCGGAGCGGAGAGGAGAGGAGAGGAGAGGGGCGGAGAGGGGCGGAGCGGAGCGGGGATGGCTGTCGTCTTTGTATGGAGTACCGGTAGAGGCTGAGACAAACAGGATGAATGCGCTGCGGCTGGTGGTCGCGGATTGATCTGGCAAATGGTTGTGAATGTGAATGTAAATGTGAATGTGAATGCACTGGCTGCCGCAAGAAGTGTAGTGTCGAGTGGTGAAGAGTAGTAAAGTGAAGTGAAGTGAAGTTGAATAGGCGAGGAGGTAGGTAGGTAGGTAGGCAGGTAGATAGATAGACTCCGGAAAGAAGTACCTACCTCTATGTTCAGTGAGGTCGGTAGTGATAAACAGTTTATCTAAAATAGAGGGGCGAGGCGTCCGGGGCATTGTAAGCGCGCTACTAACAAATAGCCGGAGTTCTTCCGCACCGGTCAGTTCAATCGATACTCCGTCCGGAAATCAAATGGACAGACAAAGCAGCAGGGTCAGTCACTACTGCATGCGATATTTGTTAGAAGATATACTTCGTAGAGTCTTAGTCATCGTACTAATCATATCACCGGGCCTGCTAAGTCAACCCAAAAACCTAACAATCGCTATCATGACATCTGTGAACTGATTCCAGATTGAGCGCTGACGTCACTATTTATGCTTAAGTAGGCGCCTAGGTAGTCTTCCTATACTACGTACGTAGTATAGTGCTCTCCCTCATTTTCCTCTACTGCCCTTACTGCTTTGACCAAAGACCTACCCAACCTAGCGCTTACTACCGGCGTAGAGAGACCACGACTAGTAGGGACTACTACTACCTAGTAAAGAGTAGTAAAGAGACTACTACTAGTGACTATTACAACTTAGTGACTCCTATTACTACTGATCACCCGGCCACTCAGCAATCAATAGAATACGTGCATGGAATTATTATTCACACGAGAAACTGTTTCACGTTAGAAACAAAGCAACGTCTCTGGCATGGAGTTTGCTACGGTACCTACCGGTACTCTGTATGCCAGAACACTGACCAGACCGACTTCACCGCCATGTAAACCTTAACCTTTGACAGGCCAGACGTTGTGGACTTTCTGCCAGCTGCCCACGTACGTATAGGTAGTATTTGCAGTACCTGATAACACCTGACCACCATGCAAACCGATCACCTGCTTCGTCTGAGGCTGCACGGTAATACTCTTCAAGCTGCGGGTACATCCCCAGAAGATTTTCAAAATCCTTGGGAAGATAAATTTCTTGAAAGTAATGAGGTGCTGGAATAAGTAGTATGCAAACATCATTGCAGCCTCGACAAGGATCACGACCATGAGCTCAGCAAACTTCTTTGACGGCCCCTACACATCACAACACCACAAATCACAATGCTTGCAACGCTCCAGAAGGCCTCATCGGCGGTAGATCGCAAACCAAAAACTATCTATCAATTGGACTCCCCTTTCACTACTCCTACATGGTCTGTCCCAGAGCTCTGGCAAATTTTTTCATCCTCAAGAGCTAACGTATCACAGGCCCGCAACTTCACCCGAGCTTCATGAGACTATTACTGAGCTTCTCTGCAGGTACTCACAGCCGTGCACCATGATGTGGAACAGAATTACACTGACATCCCCCCCTTGCTCAACCCAGTCTCCTCGCCCCTATCGGCCACCACCGCAGGGAGCATGTAGCCCCATCCAAGGGAAAGCGCGCCCAAAAACGCAAAAGGGCAGAAGAGAAGAGGGCCGGCATGATTGCAGAATCTCCGCCCATACCTCCTCTGCCCGAGATCTCGCAGTATGTGGTTGTGGGCCTGAACAGCCTCACTCGGCACCTGGAAGCGCTATCGCAGAAGTCCAAACCTCAACAACAAATCTCCAACCCCAATCAGGATGTCGATGTTGAGAACTCCCCTGCCGCTCAACTGCCACCGCCCGCGCAAGGAGAGACAACCGCCAAGCCAGAGAATCCCGCTCAAAGCAAGCACTTCTCGGCCATCTTCTTGCCCACCTCCCTCTCTATCCACCCCCGCGCCTCCATCCTTTCGGCCCATCTTCCTGCTCTAGCCCACACAGCTTCTCTCGCACATCCCTCTCTCCCAGCAACGCGGCTTGTGCAGCTCCCGGTTGACAGCGAGGCTAGGCTTTGCGAAGCCCTGGGCTTGCCTCGGGTATCATTTATTGGGCTTGTGGAGGGGGCGCCACATTCGAAGTCTGTTGTGGATGTCGTGAGGGGAGGTGTGAAGGAAGTGGAGGTCAACTGGCTGGAGGAGGCGGGAGTGGCCGTGTACAAGAAGGTGAGGATTGAGGCTGTTGAGACATTTATTGGGGCTGGGAAGGAGAAGGTTGCAAAGAAGACGAAGCGCGTGGAGGCAGGAGACTGATAAGGAGATAGATATGATACAGGTCATACCCATGAGGTGAGTATCAAGCGCATCCTTCATCAAGTCGCGTTCTTTCCGTCCCTCTGAATTTCTGCTCTTGGCAACTTGCTACCCCTCCCAAGCAGACTTCTTCGCTCTGGCTTCCATAAGTCGTGAGACTTGGATGATCGGAATGCCTTGTGGCACTCGTATATGCCTGCTCCAAGAAGTACATGAGTATTAGGTCAAGTGTATCCGACCTGCGTGGTTTTCTCTTGCTCGCTCGATGATCGATCTCTTGCGCTCTACATAGAGATGATCACCACGCTGACTCTGGGCTTCTTTGAAGTTTCGAAGAGGAGGCTGTCTATATCGAATATCGACATAGTGTTGCTTTGCACCTGGACGGTTGTTGGCTTAGTCGAGTCGTGACTCGCGCCTTCCCCGTGCATTTTGTCAACGAACCTGCCCCCATCAAGTTTCCTACAACTCCACACCACAACTCTACCACACCACAGCACACTCACATCTCTGCCGACCACGTCTTCGGCGCCGCAACTCTGATCTTGCCGCGTGGCTATTCACTCCTTTCGTTGAAGTATTTATCTTCGTCCCGCTCCTTTCTTCCTTTCCTTCCACCCTCTTTCCTCTCGACACCTTCTCCCCTCCCACGAACCTATAACGCGCTGCTTTCTGGTCCTCGTACTCTGATTTTCCCACGCCTCCACGGCACTTCCAACTCAATAACCTCGTCGACATGTCCTTCACTCGCGGCAATGGCAACGGTAACGGCGGTCCAGATCCACGCGCCCCCATCTACACCAAAGATATGCTGGATGAGGTCAAGGCTTTCAACGCCGGTCTTACACAAGCCGGAAATAAGCAAAAGGCAGGTCGCGGACGTGGTCGGAGATCTAGCACACTGGGTCGTCCATCTACACCCTCCTCGCACATTTCCTCTGCTCCGTCCGTAAATACCTACAATTCTCGCCCAGCTCCGTCATCCAGCACCCGCACCCACGTTCCTGGCGTCACAAGATCCGGTGTCGCTGCTAGTTGGGGAACGATGGGACCTCACACCGTCGGCCCTTCGCCTCCTCGATCCAAGTCGCCCGTTCGACAAAGTGATCGGATTCAGTCGGCTCCGGCTCCTGCGCAATCTAATACTGGTCCGTTTATGTATAGAGGTGAAAATGCGAGCTCTAATGCTTCCGGTGGTCAACAACAATCCATGCACCAGCACCAGCAATCTGCCGCTGGTGGCCCGGGACACCGAGTTAATGATCCTGTCGGCCAGCAGCAATCTACGTACCAGCAGTCTGCTGCAACGATAAATGTTGCCTCGGCGGACGGCTACAAGGGTCTTGATTCCAGCCCCCAAGTGTACCAACAGGTTCCCGTTACGATGGATTGTGGCTTGAGGAACCCTTTACATGGTCAATTTGAGAATTTGCAACCAATTTATCAACAACCTGCCGGTGCAATGAATGACAACTCGGCAAACGGATCCAACGGCCCTGTCCCAAATGCTCAGCCAATCTATCAACAGCCCTCTACTACTTGGCCGCGTGACCAAAACGCTGACAACAAAACCTCTGTTTTTCAGTCTTCGGCTCAGTTCCAGCAACCGACTGGCAATCTGTCCGGTGTCCAGAGCGCTGTCGATAATGCCTCGGTCGGCTTCGATAGTATCACATCCCACGAGCCCGTCAAGCCCTTCATCCCTGCGCATTTGCGCCAGGAATCCGCCCGGAAGGCGTTGCAGGAGATTGCCGATCTGGTTGGACTCCGTAGGTTTTGCCTCAAAACCCAGTATAGAATCGTGGGCTAAATTCCTGTGATAGCAATAAGTGAGATCAGCGAGGATGGCAGAACCCTGGGTTTTCCCTCCAGAGCCAAGAAGACTCGTTCTGCCTCAGGGGCCATGCCAGTGCAAACACAGAACAGTAAGGTCTTGTCCGTGGCTCTCATCGGTATCGGCATCTCTGACCTCATCCCTAGCTATTCCATCAAACGCCGCCGAGGCTTCCGCATTCAGAACCAAATATTATCAGTCTTCGGTCGATACAGATATGTGGATGGCCTTTGCGGGTAGCAAGAATTACGCCAGGTCTCAAGCTTCGGCCACCGTCGGCGGTCCTCCTCGTATTCTATCATATGAGCTGGACCTTGGTGTGATGGATGGTGTCCCTATTAATTCTAAGCATCATGTGGCTGGTCAAGCTCTGCCTGGAATCTCGGAATCTCGCTGGGCTAACCCCCCTGCCTCCGGATTCAATGCACCAACTCCTGTCACCACGTCCACACCCGCTTCTAACGATAATGTGGAGCCGGCTCAAGGTCAACAAAGCACCAACAACGGTTTTGCAAGCTTCAACCAGGCTCTTGCTGCCACGACTCAGGCTACTCCAACCCAATCGACACAAAATCCGATTTCGGCCGGTTTCGACCCACGTCAAGTCGCGCAGAGAATCGGATCTGAGTTGAATCGTGGTAGCCTGTCGATTTTGAGAAGTGCTTCTACTTCGGCTCAAGCTCAAGCCAATCCACTCAACGCCGGATCTGGTCAAGCTGGTGTATCCCTCTATAGTGCCGTAGCCGCTCCAATTGTCTCACAACCGGTCCTCACTCCTGCCATCACTCCTGCTTCTGCGCCTGCCAAGCAGGGAAAGACTCGCTACCTGGCATCTTCTCGCTGGGCTAAGTAGTAAGCTACCCTATCCTTGCTGTCAAGCTCTTTACTAACCATAGCCAGGATTTACCACACGAGCTGTTACCAATCATCAGTATCAGTCTCATCAACTGGACGGTGTTTGCCAACTTCAAATATCTGGAATAAGGAAACTGCTATCGATTTTCGCTCTTGGCTTATCGGCATCTTCCTTTTTCCCGGTTGGCTCTCTACGGGTTGAAAATTTCCTCATGGTGCGTCAATACTGAATTGACACAAATAGGGTCTCCTGATACGAGAATAAAATCTACGGACATGTTCATTCATCTGTGCCCAGAATCCCTTGGTCACTTGTCCTTGCTTTTAGCAAAGACGGCGATAGAAAGGGTCTATCTTGCAGAAGCACGTTACCATACAAAATGAACACGAACAATCCACCGAAATCAATTTCCTTTAATGATAAAGTGCTTTGATGTCAAGTTCAAGTGAAGGCTAAGTATACATGATTCGGCCCGGTGATGGTCGAGTTTGGAGTGAAAATACGACGCTTTTACAGACTGACTATTGAAATGTGTATAAAATTCACTACTAATGACATGATAAAAACAGTTTATATCAATGCGGTAAGATTTTTTTTTTTTTCAGTCCGCCAGTCATGGCTCATGTATTTATTCAATCAAACATGCTTCTGGGTGTTGCTGGGAGTTTTTCGTGATTTTCCAGAAAGGTGGTTTCAGTTTCGATTTTTTCGATTTTTTATTGGATGACATAGAGATGGATGAGCTGGGGAGTTTTTGCTTGCAGAAGAGCGAGTTTGGGCACTTGAACGGAAAAAGGGCTTTTATAGGAACCTCCATGGCGAGACAATTTTGCGTACACGTATCTATCGACTTGCCGGAGAAACAATCTGATGTTATATTGTTCTAACGCGTGACTTTAAAAGTGTGGTCGGCCAGATAGGTAACTCGAGTTCTTTTTGGATTTTTTGGATTCTTAATTGGATGTCAAGTGCTAATGAGATACCCGCGCCTTATATTGTCTGACTCCGTACCTTCCGATAACGACCTCTCTTAAAGAGGGTCCTAAGAGGTTGGTAGAGTTAACAGATCACTTCAGGTCGATACTTGAAATTGGAGTCAACTCCATAATCAGATCGTTTTAAACATTTTCAACGATCGACGCAACATAATGGTTCTAATCAATCAAACCGTCTCTTATCAAAGCTGGTCTTTTCGTCAAAAGGCCGTCCGAGGACCGTTTTGGGACCGTTTTCAAGACCGTCTTATAGCCGTCCTACCTATGGCCGTCCCCGCACTTGGGAACCGTCCATGAGGACTTACATTAGTAAGCACGTAACTTGCTATTCATAGCATGCCTTAAAAAGGCAGGTAGGGGGTTTCTTTATTTAGACGGTTAGCGGATCATCCGATGACGATCTCTTTTTGAAGAAAGACGATCCTAAGAGCTTGACATCGGCTAGTGGAAGTGGATCACCCTAAGCCTAGGAGGTATCGAATATAAATTTTGAAAAAAAAAAAAGAAGAAAAAATTCTGGATCGCTTGAATCGTACTCAAAAGTGGAACGAACTATTTTAATCCACTACGTTGTCGTGTGAGCTCGTCCGCAATCGAGGAACCGTTTGGGATCGATCATCTTATAGCCGTCCTGCCGTATGGCCGGCCGTCCCTGAACTTGGAGAACAGCCTCGAGGACTTGTGTTCGTAAGCAAGAATATGCTCTTCTCCGAGATTGCGATCCCTTTTCTTTCGGTCTGTTTTTTTTTCTTCTTTTTTTTTAACTTGCACGATATTTTGGGGACGCAAGGTACCTTTCGAACTCCGTACGCTCGCCATATACGTAGGACGCGAGCTAGAGAAGAGAAAGGCTTTTACGGAGAGCTACGGACGGAGGAATGCGGGTTTACGAGAGCTATTGCGACGGTGGAGGGGAGCTGCAAGCGAGCAAGAGTCGAGGGAAACGCGGCAACTTTTGACTTATCACAGCGAGCTTGACTCGTGCGCGGTAGTGACGGGCGGAACGGACGACGGTGAGGGGTGGCCGATTGGCAGGAAGTGGTGGCTAGGTATCAGAATCTATCTCCGGCTGCTTGGAGCAGCTGAAATGCTTCGCTTCCGTCCTAACCGCGCTTCCGTCCTAACCGTGAGCTAATATGGCAAGCGGTCGGCTGCTGTCGGTGAACTTTTCTACATCGACACCTACAGTATAAGTCGACGACCGCTACTTAAGTTGACACTCACTAACCCAATTAGTTGGGTTAAGGGTGTTGGCTGCTCTACGTGATCTCATGTTTGCATGTCGGACCCTGTTTACTCTGCACAGTAGCTTCATACTACTACGCAGTAAATCGTAGAGCGGTAGTTTCTTAATGTCTCAAAGCCCTGCCAACTCAAATAGACTAAATACTAACCTAATATCAAGGTTGCATTCTTGTAAGTTGATTGGTTCGAGCCCTGTTAGGATCCCTTGCAAAATTATACTTTCGACGTGTATTCATGGGGTACGTAGTACGTAGCGGCCAGGCCTCGGGAAGTACTACTACTTGGTTTTCAATACAGAATTGTTTTGCGAACCAAGTACCTACTTCACCGAGACCCAGAATCTGCGAAATCCTACTCGCTTTTTTGATGATACTTTAAAGAGCTACGCTAGGCAGATTATCACAACAGTGAAGATGGTGTGTATAGAGTACATTATGAGGTCTCATCGAAGTTGGTTATTGAATAGTGTCGACGTCTCAGGGCCTATTTACTTCAAACCCAGTGTATAGTAGATACTGGCGCGATATGTAGAAACTAAGGGGAGGGTCAGTGTTTGGTTCAACACTAAAAAAGACTCTATATAGTGCGTACATTTATGCTCTATCGATTACTACGTAGTACGTACGTAGTATATTGGGAGGTCCGGACTGTGGAAGACTTACCTTGTACGAAGTGGCTGAGAAAGGCCGAAAATCTTGGCTTGCGTCCGGGCCGAACGTTCACATCCATCCTCCTCACATGGATTTAAGAATTTACTCCGTCAATAGTGCTTTGTAGTAGTATTTCTTCGTGTATAAGAATGATGTATACTGTAGCGTTAATACTACGAATACTATACCGCCCAACCCGGAAAACTTACCTCGTACTGCGCGGGGCTATCAATAACGTCTGATCCTTGTTTCTTACCGTAACTGATCAGTTTGTTAACTGTGCGGCAGGCCAATCGATCTCGAAAATATGCTATAGCCGCAATTAATCCTACATATCCACACCAGTTAGAAGTCGTCCTTGCAAATACCGGCAGTGCGGCTATCTTGTAAAGTCAACAACCTTACGCGTCATCATTCTATGAAGTTTCTACGGTGGATTCCGAAAGGCCGCAGGTTTTACGGAACTTGCGGCCAGGCTGAAGCTTGAAAGCGTACTTGTCATATTATACTTTATCGTAAAGTCCGAAAGATACGTCTAATCTGTATATCCTTTTTTTTAAGGGCACGGAGGTTTAGCGGTTAAGTGTCGCAACCTTCGTCGACCCACGGCTACTATTCCTAACCCACTTGGGCAGTAACGTGATCGCTAGGCACGGAAATTTAGAGAGCCTCATTGCAATAGAACCCAATTAGGTTAGAGAAAGTGGCTGGGGGTCGACGAAGGTTACGACACTTAACCGCTGTACCCTCGTACTTCGTATTTCTTACTACTATATTGAATTCATGCTGTGTTGATAACAACGGCCTCGGAAGCCTGCCTTTAATGCGTGACCGTTACGAAGCGAGGTCCCTTGGCCCGGAGCTTGCGGAAGGCAGCCAGGGAAGAGGTAGCTCTCGTGCCTGTTTACTGCATGTACTACGTAAAGAGTTGTGAGATTGTTCCGATCCTTAGGTAGACCTTTTATGCTTGGGAGTCGCTACATCTCCGTAAACCGTTAATAGCAGAGGTATATACGGAGGATAACTAATCCGTACTCCGGACCACTTTTCAAGGCTCCGGAGTAGATCGCGAAACTACTACTATACTTTTGTTGTTTACGGAGTAGTACGGCACCCTCGAAGGGTAATACTTAGGCCTGTACCGTGGTATGTGCATCACCACGACTACGGTATTATAACTAGTACCGTAGTACCACGGTACAGGCGTAAGTATTTACCTTCAAGGGTTCCTCAAAAGTTTCGTTTCCACTTTAAACCCCCTGGTTACCCTACCCTCGAGGGGTAATACTTACGCCTGTACCGTGGTACTTACTAGATGGAGAATTTTCTCCGGGTTCTTAGGTACCAAGAGCTACTACGTACTATATCATTCCAAGCCTTGGATCCGGAGGCCGGACAGATTGTAGGACTGCCTCGGCAAGGGGACAGATATTTAAGACTCAAACATTTCACCTCGAATAATCCATTTGTGCCAGCTCTCTTTGTGCGACGTTCTTCTTCAAGTGCCTTTCAAAATGCAATTCACTACCCTTTTCGCCGGACTTCTCGCCTTCGGCTCTTTTGCCATGGCACAAGAGATGTGCAACCACGGCTGGTCATTCGATCAAGCCAACTGCGTAAGCAAAACCACTCTTGATCCCCCTCTTCCCCCAAAAGAACATTGGAGAGAACTAACAACCTTTCAGAATGGTATGAAAGGAAGGAACTTGTATTGTGTAAGCGAATTTGCCTCTCCGCAAAACGATCTTAGCAGCTAAAGCTATCGCGCGTAGTGCGATCCAAACGGTGTTTCGTCAGAACAGTTTAACATTCCCCGTGGTAATTGTGGAGACGTCAATGGGATCGGCTGGGTTAACTGCGGTAACCCCACTGGTGGTGTAAGAATCCCATTCCGTCTGTGTTTCAGATGCAAGGCTAACCGGGTGTTCGAAACAGGTCATGAAATGCGTAAGACAATCCTCCCCTTTCCATTCCGAGACCAATGGGAGGCGACTAATCAGCTGGGGATAGTGCGATTAAAACAACCAAGATTGTTCTCAAACCGACCGCGTGATCGGCTGTTAACGGTGCTGGAAAGTGTTGATAGTGGAAACCACATAATTTTTTTTTTTTTTGGTCTCTGCATCTGAAAAAAAAAGGGGGGGGGAGGGGGGTTCCAGAAGATTTAGGCCACCCGCTTTCCAATGTTTCTGTCTCTCGCAGACCAAAAGCCTGCCTACAGCTAACTGGGCTCGCTAAATCAGTGGAAGATGTTCCCCTAGCGGCTCTGTCTCTCCAAGAAAAAATCATTGAATTCCTCCGTAATCACCGACTACTTATATATACTACGTGCATGTGATCGCAGCATACAACGCATAAACGCTTATGTTCACACCAAAACGTGTCTATTTGAAAGCTGAAACTTTGTACACTCGTAAGCTTCAGATGATAAATGATAGATAAAAAATCTTAAACTTTTTAATAGATACGAGCAGCTCATAGATGTAAGACGGGTTCATCCCGTATCATTATTCAATAGAGTTAGGTAAAGCAGAAAGTATGGGAGGTGGTTGGCTTTCGCTTAACATTTAGAGTTAACCTCGCTCGCCAATATCGGAAAGGATAAAAAGAAAAAGATAAAAAAAAAATTCGAAGCGGGGCGATTTCGGCTCTTATCTAAGGTATGCATCTAGTTCTACTGTATTAAACGAGCTGATTTAAGATGTATGGTTCAATTGACTAGTTCCCCAGAGGTGGGATTACCGAACTCTGGCTCATGTGGGTATTTTTTTTTGCTTTCGAAGTATTGACCCTTAGTTTTGGTGCGAAAAAGGGGGTTTATGCATTGTAACACCGTTAGTACTATACCACCCTCGGCCGTTGCTTCTTCATGATTGAGACTAGGAAGCCTTTTTATGCCTTGTGTCGCGAGCAAAGATTGCCCAACCCTTCATATACTACAATGACTACTGATCGTCGGCTCGCTTAGGTGGGCCTCCGTACAGACTGGAGTACCCGGTAAAAGTGCTCGATGGCGGCGCAGGGTGTTTTCCACGCCGTGCGTATCGCACCCCGTGGATATCATAACCTCCTGAGCTTCTGGCGCGTCCGGTGGCGCTGTTGGAGGGTTCCGGCCGGGACTAAACGCTGCTATGCGTCTTGCTTGAAGTCTTGGTGGTCTCTGCCTGGGCGTCTGAATCACTCATCGCAACACGTCCTCAAAAGAGAATGGGGCGAAGTCGAAAGCTGGAGAATATCATCGCGCCTCTTTCAAGCCCGGAACTGTGGCCAGCGTAGTACGTAACGGCGTACTAGCAGGGAAGATCAAAACAGGAACCTATAACGGATCACTCTCTACCGATGAGACTCTTCTGATATCTGCTGAATTGCGTCACTTTGATGCAAGTAATGGAGGTTTGACATCTGCGGACAAGGTTTCGGACAAAATACACTAGGAACCACACGATTCTACCCGTAGTACTCGGAACAAAACAAGACATTAGTATATTGGAAAAGTACGTAGTAAGAGAATAAAAGCATGCTGGAGCCTGGATAACCTTCTATTACCCACCCCTATGATAATCCTCGTTGAATATACTCAGATGTTACGATAATGTGGGGGAAAGGGTATGCATTCTATTCATTGCTGCTCAGGACGTCATCTCCTAGTTGTCCCGGCCATGTACCCAGAAGATCATCGCTACCGTAAAAAGAGCAAATTATCTCCCGCTCGGTCTTCCGCTGGGTCTGCCCTGGTCCATTATTCCATTCAGCGACTTTCCCAGCCACTTTCGAATCTCCTGACTAGGAACGTTCTGCTGGGCCCAGGCCGTGAACTCGTTCAACATCGTACCAGACTTTCCCTTGTTGCTGGCAAACTCAATGACAAAATCCTGAAGCCACTGCAATACATTAGCATATCCCGCGGGACCAAGACGTAGGATTGAGGGTGAAAGGCTCCTGAAGGAACTCACATCTCGAGCAGCGATGGTATCTGGGTCAGAGGGGCTGTAACTGAATCGAATGTCGATCCAGAGAAGAGGACCATACAGCGAGACCGGACCAAGAGGCTGCAGAGCCACGATCAATCGAACGCCCGCACCCCCTTCCAGCAGGCGATTGACCTCACCTAGAATTTCTCCACCCTTGCCCCAGATACACTTAGCGGCATTCGGTGCGAGACATTTCCAGGCTCCCATGGGCAGACCACGTTCCTCGTCCCATGCCGAAGGGCGGTATCCGGCTTCAGCGTTTGTCAAGGTGTGGTTTGCGAAGATGACCTCGAGCGCGGGTCGCAGGGTGGCAGCAATCTGTCTCCTCGCATTCGGGGGATGCTGAAGGTCGGGTGGTTGTGCCCTTCGAGTGACCAAGACGGGCGACGCAGGGAGGGTATTGGACGGGGGGGTATTGGACATATCGAGTGCGCCAGACTGCTTCTTTCTTCTCCTCTCCTTCTTGCCTTTCTCACCCTCAGACTTGGCGGGAACGGGAGATGGTACTTTAGAACGATCAGCGATTGTCAATCTAGGGGTAAAGCATGTTCCTTGGGGATCTGGGTACAATTAGAAGCAGTACCCAATGGCCGCTACTTACGTGGCTGGGAATCTTTGCTGGTTGAGGGCTCCATCTCTGTCTTTTCTTTGGTATGGTGAGCAGAGAACTGAGCGGACGAGACAACAGTCGGGATGAGCGAGGCTGATATAGAAGCGAGAAGCGCGTCAGAGGTGATTGTGTCACGTGAAGTGCTGAGCGGACTAGGAAAGAGGGTCGACTCGGTGGTGCTGTTACCCGCGAAATTATGTGTCAGTTCATACGGCCGCTTGCCTGGAAACGGCTTCATCGAATCCATCAGGGAGAAGTAGCTTGCAACGGCCACTGGATAACAAGTAAGCATCCAAGAAGGAAAAGTGTAATACCTGTTAGCTTACCATGGTTTGCCCAGACTGATGCTTCGCTCCAGTACTGTAGCCAGGCATCCTCTTTGTTGGGTTGCACTATGGCATACTTCGACTTGCTTTCTTCGACGAGCTCTTCGACTTCGTGAATTGTAAGCTCTGGTGTTCCATCTCGCAGAGCTATTCTCTTCAACTCTCCGTAGAGGACGGGAACCTCTGTAGTATAGATCCAAGGCATGGTGGGTTACGCGGTTGAAGTTGAAGTTGTGATTGAGTTGTGTCTTGTCGTGTCGAGGCTGTTATATTATCGAAGCTGATAATAATCAAAAAGAAAGGCGTCGAGGGACCTGGCTTTTGTGGAACCATTGGAACAGCGCTAGTCTCTGTTAAATATTCACAGCAGTGGAGGCGAACAAAGACTTCCGAAGAGCAGGCGGTCGGCGCTAAAACTACTCTTCCCTGGCTCTTTTCCGCCTAGTGAATAAAGCCGTATACGCTCTATATATGCATAAAATTTGAGATCGAGGCAGATCATAGTCTTTTTCATCCAAAGAGAGTTTGCTGGCAGTCAAAGGATAGTATGATAGGTTTAGTCTGCTATTTTTGATGCAACGTTTAATATACACAAATAGCTAGCCGGCAAGAGCCATCACCTTGTTTGTACTTCATAGGTTGATTTTCTTCTCCTGAAGGGTCATCTTTATAGTAAATATTAAGAGTCATGATTTGAATGTAGTGTGTGATCATTCTTTAAACGACGAATCTCTTGCCAAGATACTCGCCAAATCATTGTTGACATCGGATTTGATTCCTTTTACTGTGAGTTCAGCCTCGAGCCTAGTCAGATTTTCTGCCAGTAAATGAGAACCAATCAAAGTATTCTATAGATATAAGCCCACGGACTTCGATTCCTGATAGCCATGAACGCGAAGGAGCGTGCGTAGTTAGTTTGTAGGGATGATATCAATGAGGCTCCGTCACCTCTGATCCCTTCGGTCTCATCTTCACAGCCGACATCTGTAGGATTTTCATTATAGTGCATGCTAACCGCGATCTGGCTCTGCCTGATCAACCGCTTCCCTTTTCCCGGGCTTTGTGGCCAGGTAAAATGATGGTGGAAGTTTGGTGGGATGATGCAAGAGTGGGTTGACGTTGAAAGTAATCGTCGGTTACCTTGAATTAATTTGTAAAAAATCCCGGCCTGGCGCAGTCGGAACCACCAAGGCGGGATAGTAAAATTTGCCCCTTTATAATGAATAAAAAATACCACCTATTATATTGTAATTATTTCTATATAGAAAGATGCACCGTGTTGATATTAATATTAATCAATCAATCAAAGTTCAATTACAAGTTGTTACTCTTTTATTGTGCTGGGTTAACGTAGTAAAAATAGTACTTCTGGTGTACTTTTATTGTACTTTTCGACCTTACTGGTGCGTACATGTCAGAATTGCCATGTAAACCGACGATTATAGACCCGCTTTCGCTCAACCGATAGAGATCTAGTCACGTGGACTTCGAGGCTACAGTTCCTGCCCAAGAACGTGGTTTGACAAATTCTGCATGTCGATAATGTCGATTCACTTGTAATGGGACTTATTGGATGCCAGTTTGGCGTGAAAACCTGGAAGAGCGCAGTGATTGTCCCGGGGAGGGCACCTTCCCTTCTCGGTCGCTGCCCGTCGCACAGCAGATTTCTGTCGGGCCAGAATTAGCTGCCCTTCTTGAGCCCCTGAGCTATAAAATCCAGTCGCTCATCCATAGACTCAAGCGAGGCACATAAATACGGCGTGTTGGGTCTGTGGGCACTGATTACACCGTTCGTCTTTTATTTCGAGACAGGATTATTTATGAGGTAATTCGTAATGTTTGCTTCTTCAATCCATGTGGATATCTCGAATCATATATAAGACTACGATGCCGGATTCAGCCTTTAGGTAATTGACCACTATAAGACTTACATTTCTTCTATCAAGTACACCGTTTCTCCAGCACGTAAAATCCCTCATACAACCCCAAAGTCCAGCACAAATTTTCCCGTTGTCTTCCCACTGTCCAACCTTGCAACCGCCTCCTCAAACCTCTCCAGCGGAAACACTTGAGCCCCAACTCCTCCCAAATCTCGACCACCCTCTTCAAGCTCTCCTCCAGCGCCCCCTAAATAAATAAGAAACTGCGAATGTCCTCCTTTTCGACATTAATCTCAGCAGGTAGCATCTGCTCAGGCGGCTGGAAAATACTGATCACCGTCCCACCAGCCCTAAAAGTCCACCACACTCTCGCAAGGCTCCCCCCCCCCGATACAATCGATCACCAAATCCAGCTTATTCCCTGGGTAAGCAGCCCACTCCCTCACATCAACCGGGCAGTAATCGAGTATTCCATCCGCACCGAGGGATCTTGCGCGCTCAACACTCTCACCACCCGAGAGAGACCGGTTACAGTCCAGCCAGCTCAGTGAGCTAATCGCACAACCCACGTCCCCATCGTCTCGGCGCTCATCAGCACCGTTGCACTTTCCGCCCACGAAACACTCCTCGGTCGTGAAGCCAGTTCCAGAGCGGGCGCAACCGTGTACTCGTGTCCGGATCCTGTGCGGGAGTAATCGGTGCGTGCGAAGCTCTCATCGCCTGTTCGGAAAGGAGAGTCCTCAGGGGAAGAGATGATGCTGCCGGCCATGTCATAGACGGGAGTTGTCTCTTTCTCGGGGCACGACATAGGGTAGTTGGCGAGCCAGAAGAGCTCCCCGTTGGTTATGGCTGCTGTGTGAACGCGGATGATGTGTTCATCTGCCTTTTGGCGTTGGGAGAAGGAAGTGCTTCAGCAAAAAGGTGGTGGATTTCGGATCAGGTTGGAAGAGGGCGCGCGCGCATGGGTGTAAGAAGTGGAGTAGCCATGATGTGTTGTTGTTGCTTTTGATGCTGCGAAGAGGAGGGGTTGTGGGCGAGAGATGGTGTACATGCACTCGCTCGCTTGGTGATAATGAGATAGAAAATCGTCTTGGTGTTGTATTACTCAAGGGGCTTGAGTGAAAGCCTCAAGCGAGGAGTGAAATGTGAAATCTTTGACAGTATGGTAGGATCCCTGTACAATATGATCTTGATGAGGAGCAAGAGACATCGAGCGAACACTCGCAATCATATATATAGCTTTCTCGGAATCCCGAAGCTTTCTCTTAGAACAGCTGACCACACAACAGCAATTGGCTCTAGAATCTCATCGCACATCAAGCTGTTCGACGGATTGGAAACCGTACGTATTGAAATTCCCTCGTCGTTGCATATCACATCGCAAAGCGAAGAAGTTCCTGCAAGTATGTGAACTCCGCGCTCCCGTTCTCCGTCCTCATTGCCTCGTGGAATCGGCTGGTCAGCGAGCTGCAAAATAAGTCACGTGCATCCTACTCCTCCATTCTCAGGAACTGCTGCATACACTGTCGAAGCTTAGATAGTGGTTGCAAAAACCTGATAAATGATGGACCAAATACCACGATTGTTTGCGGGAGGATATAACAGGTAGCTGCAAATTCATGCTGAGAAGACTTTGTGCTTGGTGACACCTCTTCAAAGTGGGCCGCCTGAGCCTGAACCCAACTTGGCGTTGAAACCATCTCAAGTATCGCGAGATACGAAAGGGAAAAGTAGATTACATATAGGAAGCATAGAAAGCTATTTATTGGAGGAGTTCCAGTTAACTCGCCTTCTCAATTGATAGTGCCGATGCTGGAATTTTTCATCAGCTTTGAAGAGTGGAGACTTGGTTGATTCAGAGCGGGGTCGCAGAGAGAGTTTTTTAATATTAATATAATACGCAGTACTGGCGCTCCAACATAATCTTCCAGAATCGGCACGTAAGTAGCAATCAGCTCCACACCGTTTCGCAGTACTAACATATCCTAGTTTGGCGGAGTGGTTAACGCGATGGCCTGCTAATTAATTAGTTGACAGCCATTTCCTTCGGGAGCGAGTGTTCGAATCACTCAGGTGTCGCAGTCTTTTTGTCATTTTGCTCCAGCTTCTTTTTTGCGCCGGTGACGTCCTTCGCATCGCTAGGTGGGGCTCACTTACACCACTCCGCGCCAGCCCCAATACAGCTCGTAGCTCTTATTCAAATTTCTCTCGCCCTCTTCTGGACTTACAAATTGGCGGTGTTTTTATTTTTATTTTTATGCATTCTTTATTATTCTTAAATACTGATGTACCGCATCTGGGAACGACATGGCATCTGCGCAGCTTTCATCTTGAAGCCGTACATACCTTAGCCTAGGTTCCAACACAGCACAGCACAGCACAGCACAGCGTAGTATGAAAAATATAGACTTCCACAACTCGACAGCACTCACTCACTCACTCACTACCTTATTAGGTACTCGTTAAAGCCACACGGGACGAATAGAAAACAAAAACCTCCGGTCCGTAGGTATAAATGCTTCACTAACTTATATGCCAGCCAGTATTGCCGACGCACACGACACACGACACACCTCTTCACCGATCGCGCGAGCAAGAGCAAGAACAAGAGCAAGAATTAATGGCTTGCCCTTATAAAACTCACCAGATTTGCGATGAGTAAAAAGTTGAAGCGAGTAAGATCCCGAAAAGCTCATACCGGATCCGTATATTTTCCTTATCCTCATCTTCAGCATATTTATATTAACAGAAGTGCACTTTATCCCTTATTCTCCATTCTCCATTCTCCATTCTCCATTCTCCATTCTCCATTCTCCATTCTCTATTTTATATCCTTTATTTTATTTCCCTCGAAGAACCGGAGATCTTGAAGGAAAGAAAAGGAAAGAAAAGGAAAGAAAAGGAAAGAAAAGGAAAGAAAAGGAAA